AGAACTGAAAGTAAAATTCTGAGGGCTGTTGTGTCTGTCAAAAAAACATTGCCCTCTCTTGACTTAAGGTGTTAAAAAAACTTCAGTGTTTTTTTTTTTTTTTTTACCTAATTTAGAGCATTGGTTTCTAATTCTGAATTGGACTATTTTGTACTAAACTGGCAAAAATACTTTTTTTGTCCATAAGTGAATGTGTACAGCTAATTTCTTTAGTAGCTTTTAGATGGAAGTCAGTTAAAGTGCAAATTGCTGTGGAAAGCAATTTTTAAACCCCTGTGTTTTAAGAGGAAATCAGACTTCAGTCCATTCTTCACTGCATGGGCAATACTACACTCCTTTCAGTAAACAGAAGAAAAGGTGAGTATTACTGATTTTTTTTCTTTCTTTCTTTCTTTCTTTCTTTCTTTCTTTCTTTCTTTCTGTCTCTTTCTCCTTTCTTTCTTTCTGTCTCTCTTTCTCCTTTTCTTTCTTTCTTTCTTTCTTTCTTTCTGTCTCTCTCCTTTCTTTTCTGTCTTTCTTTCTTTCTTTCTTTCTTTCTTTCTTTCTTTCTTTCTTTCTTTCTTTCTTTCTCTCTTGAGTTCTGTGTGTTTGTACCCCTATTCCTGTTTCAGTCTTGGTTGGTGTTAAGGAACTTGAATGCTGAGATTAAACCATTGTTTTTATATTTATTTTTCCATAGACTTAGTGCTGTGACACTATTCATTATACACCATTTTTGTTGCAAAGATTTTAGCAGCATTAGTTCATCTTGACTGATGTCCATGACTTCAGAGTACAAGTAGAAAAATAGAGATAGGTGTCTAGCAATGCTCCTCCCAAGTTATACAGTAAGGCTATCTAGATAAATCACTAGCTCAAAAGCCTACCAAACACATGGTGAAAGAAGTAAAGTGTAAGAGTTTATGTGTTTATGTTTAATAGATTTTCTAGAAGAAGCAAAAGGACATACAGATTCTATCTGGTTTATTTTATTATCCTTCAATTTTTGTAAAAAATACTGAAAAGTTTTATTGAGCTATAGAATGATTATTTTACTGCTTTTTTAAAAAGGCTTTTTAACCAAAGGAAATAGATCAATACTGTCATTCAAATCAGTGTATATAATATATATTTATATGATTATTACTGCTTTTTTATCATTAAGCTTTAGTTACATGAGTAGAAAGAAGGATTCATGAGAGATCACCTGATTCCTTCTCTTGCACTTTTAAACCATCACAGCTAGGTAAAAAATATTTTAGCACTTTATAATGTTCACTGTACAAAACAGTGTTCTTAGCACGTGTTATGCAAATGTCTGTCCATGTACAGTTGGATAATGTCCTGATAAACCCTTAGTGAGTTTCATATCCTAAGCTGAAAGTGCATTTGATGCCCCTAGCCTCCTACATGTCACACTTAGCAGCAGGTCACACTATGTTGGAGGCTCTGTTACCCCTGTGAGCACTGGCCACCTGGGAGCTATCGCTCACTACCATGACCTGGCTTCACAAGAGGGTATCATAGCACATATCGGTTGCTCGAGAAGAAAATCAACATGTAAACTGCTGTTTGTACTGAGTGCACATTATTTTTGCATCATTGTAAAGTTGAAAAATTAGTTGGAAACTCTCTGTACTTACACATTTAATTCTGACACTGATTCAAAGAGATAGCCACTGTTATACACACACACACACACACACACACACACACACACACGTGACACTGAGGTACAAAGTCTCACCCTCAAAGAAATGGAGCTGGAATTTGACCCCAAGCAACAGGTCTATGCTTTCAGCCAATATATTGCCAGCTATCGCTTTCCCTTTTTTCCTCCTTCTTTCTAGACGTTTTATTTCCTGCATTTGAAGTCCAGCCCATGAGGTCTGCCAGTTTTAGTTCAAGGCTCCCTTTTTTGTTCCTCTGCTTTGGTTTTTCCTTTTCCGATGACCAGCACTACCTTATAACCCTGTCGCTCACCGCGGCCTCTTTCTTTTACTTCCCTTCACCTGATGCCCTCCCACCTGGAGCTGCTTCTCAGTCCTAAAGTTATGCTTCTGTACAAAAGGCTTACCAGTTCTGAGTAAGACAGCACCGGTATAAAGTCTCCTCATGGCTTTTAAATATTTCCTTCTAAATATATCGTTTATTCCTGTTTGCCATATCTTTTTTCAACTATATTTGCAAAAGTACATTTGTCTGGTTACAGAGCTTCCAATTAGTGATGCATTCTGTGTGTTTATGCATATGCTTCAGATCCCCCAAGGCCTCTGAATTTTGACCATGATCAACAAACATGTTTGCATTATATGTGTTGTCTACAGGTTTTATTTAAGTTAGTTATGAAAGTTTGTTATGATGTATCTAGGATCTCCTGGCTCTCCAGACACACTGATATGAGTAGATTGCAAGTGTAAATTCTCTAAGACTACCAAAGGCAGTTACATGAGTCCCTTTAATAAGCAGGTACTTCACACCAGCCATTGGTTTTTCTGACTTAATCCCAGGGGAGAGACTAAAGAATAAAAAGCTACCTCCTACCCTGCCACATCACTCTTTTGCAAACAGATCTTCTAGCCTCCATCTCTGTGTTTTACTCTAATGAACTGTCTTATTGAAGACGAAATTGTGCCAACGAGTTTCCTGTTTACTTGGCTAAAAATAATCACTACCTGATTACCTTGTACCATGTAACCCGAAAGTACAGTGATTGTTGCTGTTATATTAAGTAAAATTTTCAAAGGATTGTAGTTCTAGATTTAGATTTTCCCTCTGTGCTCTACCTTCCATAATACTGTTTAACGCTTAGAGCTTGTTGTGATGGAGAATAGTGGTGAATATCCTTCCTCTTAAAAATTCTTACTGTTACTGCTGCACAGAGCTTGTTTCTCCTTAACAGTCCCAACTTCCGTTCTGGACACCTCTAGACTGAGAACCCGTTCCTCTGTGTGAGCAGGATCTTGACTACTGTCACTGCTTCTTTCCTTGAAAGTGTTGCACGTGCTTGCTGAAGTCCAGTCTGTAATGTGCCCAGCAACTATGCCCAGTTTCCCTCGGACTGGCATGTCTGAACACCTTTATCCAGGATAAACCTCAAGTTCTCCCGCTCTGAACAGAAGTGTCCAAGAGCTCAGAAGTATTTTCTTTCCCACTTACGTCCTATTCTTGCCTCTGTTATATCATGAGAATGTTCTGATTTGTCTCTTTCTCTGTGTAGCTCTGTACCTGACTAAAATTTCAAAGGCTGAGTGTACAGTTCAGGGATTGGCTTAGTGAGGTGTTGTGCTAATCTTTATCCTTTCTTGCCTTACTCCAAAACTTATGGTAGGGCTCGAACTATCAATTCAAGAAATCTCTTGAATGGACCAACAGGAAGGATCGTGGTGATATCTAGAATAAACACTATGGTCAAGGAAGGGAATGGGACAGGGCTTATTGCACTGACTAGCTGAGGACAACAACAAAATAGGATTGGGGCAGACATGCCATCAGGGGAGTACACCTAACTGTCTGGGTGGTTATGGACATTCCAAGGGTTGTAAACAGATACTAGCAGGGGAGTGCATAGAAATTAAGGACTGTAAGTAACACATGGAGCCGTGGAAATGGAAGGTGTACACAGGATGACTAGATGAGAGGTCTGTATGTAGAGAAAGTGGAGGGCTCCGAAGACGGTGGTTGGGATGGAAGGAGACCAGCGGTTGCTAGGTACCTGCAGCTGTGCCAGTGGGAAGAGGAGAAGGAGAGGCAGAGAACTCCATCAGTAGTGAACAGCTGTAGCAGGGCTAGATGAGGCACCTCACAGGGACCGTGACAACTTGGGGCAGCTGGTAGTGCTGGGCTGTTCTATTTTCCGTATGTGGGTAGCTTTGATTGGTGATGACATTGTGTTTAGTCATCGGAAGCTTGGGTCTGGTAAAAGACAGAGCAACAGGTTTGACTTGGCTTAGCAGGGACTGAGATTACATTTGACCTTATGCTGAACAAACAGGACCCAAACAGTAGATCAGGAATTTAATTTATCTTCTCTGCTCCCCTCACTGGCTGTTCAAACCACATTGTGTAGCAAGATTTCTGTTCTTGGATGACGCTTAAAATAGACATGGTTGTTTCTCTGGCTTCTCTCAGATCTTAAAAAAACAAAATGCTTTCAATAGCTATACTTTAAAAACAGACTCAGTTTGGCACTTAGGTGGCCTAGTCTAGCCCAGCGTAATAAACATTTACTGACTCAGAAGTGAGGCTTCCATCTCTAGCAGCTTCTGCTTGTTGCAGAGGTGAAGTCTGAGTGGAGAAGAGCTTTTACAGGGTTCTTCTGGTTCCCCTCAACATTTCTACGCTTCCTCCCTACCTCACCAGGAGACTGTGGGTTCTTGAGAGCAGATGGGTGCTCTTCAGAGACCGGAAGGCAGGAGAGAACTGACCTTGGTTGGCCGTTGGTGTGACGCTGGGAGGCCGTGAACCTAAGTCTTTTGTGGCCACTGTTCCAGTTTCTCGGAGAGTCCCTCCTCCCTCATTTCTCTGCTTCTCTCATCTGTTTGCTTTTACAGGACAGGGTGGGCACACACTTCTCTGATATCCCAGTGGGGTGCTGCTGAGGCTCTTTACTTACTGTTCCAGGCAGCCTTAATTCAGGTGCAGTTCACTCTGACTGTACAGACTGGGTTAAGTGGAAATACTCCGCTTTAGCGCACAGACAGGTGAGCGCATGCAGGACTGTCGTAGGGTAACTGCTTTTCAGGCTGCGCTGAAGTCAGTAAAGTGGAGACAGAGTACAGAAACGCTGGTGCTTAAGAGGCAGAAAAAGGAGAAGTCACGGGCAAAGGAGGCCAGTGTGTCAAAGGAGAGACTGTCTGGGAATCAGCCCAGAATTAGGCCTATTAACATGTTTATTCCTTACCAAGAAGGGGGCACCTTTAAGACCTTTGCTTAGTTCTTCTTGTTTTGAAATTTGATGTTAATTTGAGTTTAGAATTTTGTAATTCTTTGAAGACAAACTTTAACTCTTCTTTTTACAGTTGTGTATGAACACAGATCAAGATTAGAAAAATCCTTACAGAAAGAAAGACTTGAACATAAGAAAGCCAAGGAAGGTAAGTAAACAAGGTGATTTGTGGTCTGTAGTTTTCTCAAACTTCTTTAAAATATCATGTACCTGACTTATGATATTTTCGGTTAAGCTGTTTTTCGTGGCAACTCGAAGCTAGTGTTATAAGTGAGCAGAGAAGATGTGTCAAGAAATATATTAACCATTGTGCAATAATCCCTGTTCAGAATTTCATTTAGAATCTTTCACTGTGTTTGTGCCGCCTTGAGGTGATCCATATATGTATAGGTCATACCAATTATTTAAAAAAAAACAACTTCTCATCTGGATATACATAGGTATATTGCTAAAACCTGGAAATTATCCACAGATGTGAAAGCAGCATATGTTGTTCAGAATATGGCACTTTTGACACACACAGAGACACATGTTTATAGTATAATGCATTGATCACACTATCTGGTATATTTTAAATTAAATACCTGTTTTATTTTTCGTTTTTATTTTTGGTACCAGGAATCAAACTCAGGATCTTGCGCTTGCCAGGCAAGTGCTGCACTGCTGAACTGTATCCCCAGCAGTACCTGTTTTAATCTTTTAACTGCTTTTAATGCTTCAGCCAATTGGTTTTTTTTAATTAATTTTTCTTTTTTTACCAACCAGAAATCAAACTCAGGACCTTGCACTTGCCAGGCAGGCGCTTTGATCTTGAGCTATATCCCCAACAGTTGGTTCAGTTTGAATTATTAATGGCAGGGATAAGGTAGTGCTATTGATTTATATCAAAAGTTTTTTTTTAATGCAGACTTTCTCCTACTTATGATTTGAAGTTATCTGCATTCTTTTATTTATTCATGTTTTGTTATAAATCTTGAAATTTAGTGAGATGTTTTGTGTGAATTGCTTGCTTGAGTAGGAGAAGGGTGAGAAAAAGAGGTCAGTACTGGGTAAGATACTTTACTGACCCTCAGATTGAGCCTGTGTGAGGAATAAATTGGCAGAACTGAAGTACATTGAGAAGAGTGGAATTTTGCTTGTGTTAAACACAGAGTGATTTTACAGAGCCACCTAGTGGGTAATAAAGTTTTCAGAGCACGCAGATGGCTTGGATGGCCAGGTTTCTCTTTTCAGGCCCTGGGAGTCTGGTGTGCCCGTCTGTCAGGGAGATGGAAAGCACCCTTGTCTTCAGATGTGCTCCATTGTTTTCTTCCTCAGTTTCAAAGAATCAATCTTAGAGATATTCTAAATGCACTGTTAATCAAGTGGTTATAACACAGAATTTGTTGATGTAAGTTTACAGCTACAAGGTAAAAAGGAAGATGGGATAGTATTTTCTCCAACTCTTTATAAAGCATCGCGAGGGAAAGTAAAGCATATAAATCACAAGAAGATGAACATAAGCTGGAAATGTGCTGGTGCAAGTCTGAGTAAAGTATCTTTATTCACCTGCATGTACCCTATTGTCTCCATTTTGCTTTTTCCAGATTTCCTTGTTTACAAGTTAGAAGCACAAGAAACACTAAATAAAGGAAGGGTAAGATTTTTTTCTCTTCCTCTTAATTTCTTTTTATTGAACTTGAAGGAGAGAGAAATGTAATTGCAAAATCATTTATTCTGTTGATCATTAGGATTCTAGGAGTGACATACTTTTTTTTCCCCTATAAGCAAGGCCTTAAAATTGTTCTTTGAAACCTACCTTCACTTATCACATTATTGATAATACGAGTAAATTAGAAATAGTATAAGTGATTAACAGGAAAGAGAAAATTATTTTTGTTCATTTATTCATGGGGCACATTACTTTTATTTGCCTTTGCAAACATATCATCTTAACACAGGATCTGGCTCAGGACTGGCATTTAGAAATATTTGTAGAATGAATTATCACTGGCATTTGAAAATATTTTTGAAGTCTAAATTAACTGGAGAAAAGCAAGTCACTCTTTCAGTCTAAGAAAAATCTGTAGTATTAATTGAATAAAACATTTGTGTTCAGGGATGCAAAAACTGAGAAAAGTCAGCTTTTGAATTGCTTGGGAGGTAGTCTGCTTTTAGTTCTGATTTAATTTTAAAAACTAACCCATTCCAGCACTCAGGAGGCTGAAGCAGGAGGGTCACTGCAAGTTTGAGAACAGTGAGCTAAAGGTCAACATGAACTGCATAGTGAGGCCCGGTGTCAAAAAGACCAAAACAAACAAACAAACAAGAAAAACCAAAAACCAAAAACCTCTAACCCAAACTGTCTGTGCTATTGTACATTTTATGTCATTGTCTTATAAATTAAAGTACTAAAGCAGTGAAACAAAATGTTAATACAAAAATCAAGTTCATTTTAGAAGTTGTGAAAGTTTGAGAAAATTGTATATACTTTAGTTGGTGGGCCAGAGAAAAACAGGAAATATATTATACAAAGGTACAGCAAGGAAAGAGGGAGCACTGCAGTGCCTTCCGCGTGCTGAGGTGACGGGTGCCGGAAGCTCTGGGAAGGGTGAGGCCTGCCTGTGCAGGTGCCCGTGGCCACTGAGATCCGGATTCGGTACCTGGAGTCAGCCCTGGGCTCAGCGTCCAGGCCAGCCCTGCTGTCAGTGAAGTACTTTCTCTGGACACGCATCTTCCCCTCCTTAGTGTCTCCCTCTGTAAGAGTCTCATGGTGGTGAAGTCTGTATGGAGAATTTCTTGCACACTGGACTTGAGGGAGAAAAGCTTCTTTTCTCTTCCCTCCCTTATGCTTCTGAAGTCTGGTACAGCTGATAGGTCACTTCTTCTCCTTACCCCGAGCACCAGCACAGTGTGCTAGTCGTGTTGCTGAGTTGTATCTCCAGGTTCCTCCCTGTATTGTATTTTGGCCTGAGTTCCTTAAAATGTGAGAGGAAAACCTAAGTTATTTCTAAGAGCCCTGCCACCTTATCACTTTATGGTGCCGTGTCCTGCATTTTCACCAATAAAGTAGGGTAAACCTGCGAGAATGGTGAAACTTCGCTTCTGCTATTAAGTAAAGAGATGGCTGGGGAGATACCCTGGCTCAAGCATAAAATCCATCTTAGCTTACATGAGTGAAACAAATGAAAATCTTTCATTAGGAGCTTGCAGCTACCTTTAGCCAGAGAACCAGATTAGTTTTCTTTTGTTGACTTTTTTTTTTCAATTTACAGCAAGACTCCAATAGCAGATACAGTGCATTGAATGTCCAACACCAGATGTTAAAAGTGAGTAATTTAAATTGCACTTCTGGATGACTTAAAAGATTAGCTAATAACTGAACTGATGATTTTTAAGGTAATTGAAAAAAGTTTACAGAAAGTTGATTTGTGTTGCATCATGATATATTGGCTAAAAACTACATATAATATGAGATATGTTTTGCCTCAATATAGTTATTATTTGTTTACAGAGAATATAGTTAATATTATTACCCATTTTCTTATATCCCAAGCTCTCTATTTTTTAAATTTTTTATCTTTAATTTTTCATAGTAGTTTTCCATAGGCATTTTCTTTTTCCTAAGACACTGGAAGCTGTAGAACTGTTAAAGTGCTTCCTTTGTGTTACTAGAATTTAATAAATGTACTTTTACCTACCACAGGAATGCGATTTATTATTTAAAGATTCTCCTTCCTTAGTCCTTCAGTAAAATTCATTATTGTGTGTCAGGAACACCAAAAATAAAAAAGAGAAGAAGTTATTGCTTCTGTCAAGCCAGAAGAGATGAGCAGCAGGCCATTCTGCATAGCATGCAAATTGGGCCATCCTCCCCCTCCTGCCAAGTCCCCCAGCTTTTGGTCTGGCCTTTCCCTTTTTCCCTGTGTCAGTAGGACACAGGCCTTGAGTTGAACCAGAACCTTTCCTATGATCAAGAGTGCACCCCAGGACTTAAAACAGTCCCATCTTTTTATGTTAAGATTTGGAGACCGTAGAGTTTAACTAGGTTTGGATTTCAGTTGGATTATAACTAGGTTTTGATTTCAGTTGGATTATAAGCTGAAACTTTGCATCTGTGTGTTTAATCAAACTATATCTTTCTAAAATAATTGATGAAAAGGGGACACCTACACTGAATGTACAGTCTTTTTTCTTGTCATTATTTCCTTAACAACATAATACAACAGCAATTTATATAGCATTACATTATATTAGGTATCGTAAGCAATCTAGAGATGATTTAAAGCAAGAAGGATATGCAGATATTAAATAAAAATATTGAGTGTTGAACATCTCTAGATTTGCATATCTGAAGGATGTCATGGAGCCAGCCTCCTGCAAGTACCAGAGACTGTGGTATGTTGGTGGGAAACTATCAGGTTGAAAGAGAAATTCCGTAACACCTGTGGCAGACCATTTTGTAATTAGCTTTACCTTATTTCTACAGTAACTCAAGTTTCAGGGAATTTCTCCCAAATTACTCCTTTTTTCATCTTTCCTGCTAACTTCTTGTTGTTAGCACCAATATTAAAAATAAAAGGCAAGATTATTTTCACATTTATTGGAAACATAGATATGCAAGGGAGCTTTGCACGTAGAGAGCAGTCTGAGGAAACTGAACATGTCTTTTCATTCATTCTTACTTTCTTGCAACATAAAGGCTATGCTTCCAGGAAACAGCCTTAGTGTACTTTAGAGAATGTATAGCTCTGCTCAGTTTTTCATCCTGCAGAGTCAACATGAGGAGCTGAAGAAACAACACAGTGACTTGGAAGAGGAACATCGCAAACAAGGGGAAGACTTCAGTAGAACATTCAGTGACCACAAGCAGAAGTACTTGCAGCTTCAGCAAGAGAAGGAACAAGAGCTTTCTAAACTAAAAGGTATTTGCAAGTCAAATTAGGCAATTAGCAATAGTATTAATTACTATTAGGAATATTAATCCAATTAAACAATACACTTTTCGCATATTTGTGTAAATCTTGTTGCATTTACCTTAGTGTCTATTTTTATCGATTCAGGTTTATTTAAGGAAACAGAATAGACAGCTTAGTGTATCCTGTTGTATCTCAGGAGCACATATGGCCACTTGGGCAAGACAGTTCTCTTCCTGTGTGTCAGGAGACATTTAGTATCTCTGATTCCCTACACACTAAAGATCTCAGTGTTCCTCAGTTATAGCTATGACTAGAAATTGTTTCACACATTTCTAAACATCCCAGAGTGCAGAGAAGTTTCTGTTGTTGCTGCAAAAGGCTCTGGCTCCCTCTCAGACTGCTGTGACTCTTAGCTTGAATTACTAGTTAAGTGACAATGGACAAGTTATGTCATCACCACAGGCTTCATTGTCTTTATCTGTAACATAATCATAAAAAGTATCAACTTTATTGATTTTGTGAGCAGGTTAAATAGTTTATGTAAAGCATCTAGAATAGTTATTGGTATATGGTGCAATAACTGTCATCAGTGTCAGCATCAAGAGTTTTTTGCAGCAACATGGAACAAAATGCACCACTTTATTGAATACAGATGAGCTCTGTGAAATGCATGTGTGCTAAATAAGTCGAAAATGTGAGAACTGGCTTTAAAAGATATATGGCATGTTCAAAATGTACAAAAGTAGTGGTGAAATCCAAATATGGTCCATCATCTAGCCTGTTGTATAATGTCAAACAATTTCTGTGGCTAGTGAGTTACATACTGAGATGTCCTCAAGGAGTCAGGTGGGATGCTAAATGCTTACACTGGTTTTGCAATTTTTTGTCTATAAGTATTTCCCAAAATAAGTAATAACAAAAAGGCATATAAGATTAGTTACCGAGGCAGTCCTAAAAAGGGTTAACATGGCTTGGATAGAGTTTGGCCAAGTGTCAACAGATGGTATCCAAGAGAGATAGATATGTAGGGTCCTTAGCTTGTTGGAGATAGGCAGATGGTAAGGGGTTTGGGGGGATAAGAAAAAGAAAAAGGCTAAACACTGGAAGTCCTCACAGGTATAAAGGAAGAGAAAACCAGAGAATTCTGGTGTCTGAGGAAGTCATAACTTTTTGTGAAGAGAGAAGAGACACTGGATTTACTGTTCAGCATTTGCTAAGCTGATCCAGTTCATTTAATAACAGAGTAATTCACTAAATTATATACATAGTAGGTAGATTCATTAAAGAATGAGAAATAACATTTTCTGAGATACCTGATCTGTGATGACCTACTTTAAAAATGTTACATATTTTAATATTTTCATTTAAATTTAACTATAACACGGAAAATCAGATTTTCTTATGTCAACTACTTTTCTTAAAAAGAAACAATATCCGTGTATAAAAACAAGTTAAAAACTTGTACATAGAAGAATTCAGTGGGATCTCACCTTGTTAAAGAGCTTTTTCACAACAAAGGAAATTGCCAACAAAGAGAAATGAAAACCCACAAAGTAGGAGAAAGATTACAGCCAGTTGTCCCTCAGACAAGAAACTTATATCTAGAACATAGAAATAACTGAAAAATCAGACACCTTCCTCCCAAATTCAAAGACTCAATCTAGGCATCTGAGGTAAATATAAACTTCTCAGATAAAGAAATATAAATGGCAAATAAATATCTGAAAAGTGTTCAACACTATGGTAATTCAAGAAATGCAAATTAAAACAACACTGAGATTCCATCTTACCCTAGAACGAATGGCTGTCATCCAAAAATTAACCAATAACATGCTGGTGGGATTGTGGGGAAAAGGGAACACTTCTCCACTGTCAATGGGAGTGTAAACTGGTACAACCACTGTGGAAATCACTGCAAAGATTCCTCAAAAAACTATGATTAGAGGTTCCATTCAACCCAGCTATTCCCCATTTGGGTATCTTCCCAGAAAAACTGAAAACATCGTACCACAGCAATATATGTGCACCCATGTTTATAGCACCACAATTTGAAATACCTAAATCTTGGAAACAACCCAAATGTACATCAGCTGAGGAATGGATAAAAAAAGATGTGTGTTGTTATATGATAGAGCACTCACTACTCAGCCATAGGAAGGTATGGCTGATTTTTATGGGTAGACTTTTATAGGTAAATGGATGTACTCAACACCATACTCATCAGTGAAATAAATCAGATTCACAAGTGTAGATACTGTATTGTCTCACTAGTATATGAAACTGAATGAATAAATAAGATCCCAAAGGTACAATAGCTATTATGAACTGGGAAGAAACGGTTCAAAAAGAAAGAGAAACTAGGATAGGGAAAAGGGGAAGGAAGAAAATGAAAAGAAAAAAAAATAATTAGTTAACATAGTTATACAGCTAGTTTCTTTTAGTTCACTGAAATAAAAGGTTTGTTAGAGTCAGATAGCTTGTACTCTGAATAACCACTATGAAGACAAAAATATGCGATGCCTTCATTAGTCTAGCTCTTACTAACATGGTTTGAAATTCTGTTCTTTTCTGATTTTTATTTTTTTCTCTTTAAAATTTAAAAAATATTAGGACTATGAAAAAAGGCCATAGATCTCTGAGTTCTGAATAGTAGATGGTCCAACCTTACTCTCTATTCTGATCTTGATACCCAGAATGGAAAGGGAAATACAGTATATATTAGGAGTGTAGTCATCAGAAAGAGAAGGTATTGGTGACTTAGGAGGGAGAGAAAGGCAACAATACTTTTGGTACCAATTTTTGAGAGCTGTTTTACAAAGAAACCTGGATAAACCAGATGTGGGGAATGCCTGTGCCACTTTCACGAGCAGTTTGCACACGAACGCTTTTGCTCATTATGACTCTTTAAATGGCATAGGACAGTGATGTTAAAGCATTGAGTGATCAATTCAGGCCAGGGCTGGCTACCCAGGTATGTAGTCCGACTCACCTTTGATAGGTGAGTGTGATACAAGGTCTGAATTTAGAATTCTTGGGAGTTGAGGCGGTAATAAGCTTAGATGATTGTTCTTCATTACCATCATTGTAATAGCTGTCACTTAGTAAAGTGTACCTGCGCTGGTATCAGGTGAAGCTTTTTGTGTGGATGAACAACTTTTGAGATAGGCGTGGTGTTTAGTTAGCATCATTCGACAAATGAAGTCAGCAAAGGCATAAAACCCACTCCATTAAGTGTGTAATTTGAAATTCAAGAACTAGCTAAGTTGTTGTTGTTGGTGGTGGTCGTGTGTGTGTGTGTGTGTGTGTGTGTGTGTGTGTGTGTGTGTTAGACTGAACCCATGTCCATGTTCTGTATGGGTACGGTCCTCTTGGATTGCCAGTGGTGTCGTGTTTTTATCTTTGGGAAATCCATTATTACATGTCATATGATCAGTTACTGCCACACTCTACCTAGTTCTTGATCTCACTCCCAAACCCAGTCATGAATCCAGTATCTAGGGCTCAGGAAGGAGCTGTATGGGAATAAAAATATTCAGAGAGTCTGATGAGAGATGGTGACTGTCATATTCCTTCTATACTCAGAGAAAGTTAGTTAAGGCTCTGTCTACAGGAAGTGACTGTCATTTAGGGGCAGTTTGCCTGGCACAGTCCAGTTTTATGCTCGTTATCACAGACATTGTTAATAGCACCTCTTGTCATTCTCAAAAGTATCTCCCATTGGAAAATGAATTTTAGTGAGCCCACTATCATTCAGCTTTTGCATGTTGTTTGCACACAAGAATTGGCCTAATACTGCCTGAGATTAGACCTATTTCTGTATTTTTAAGCAGTGACAACTGTTCAAGTGTGGGAGACATTGTATAGGGCCACATGGCAGGGGCCAGAAAAATGTTTATGGTGTAGCTATGCTGTGTCAGCAGCTGCCGTTCTTAATATACAGTCTTCAGGTACAACAAATGACCGAAAATTACCAAGAAGATAAGGAATTTGGGTCAAAATCCTTAAGCAGGGAACTGTTCCCTGAACAGTATGGTCTGGGAAGGCTGACTTTAGGAATTCTGACTTTGACATCTGACCTTGTAACTCTGAAAGGAGCTGTCCTATAGCTGTTGGAAGCTGAATTTGACTTAGTTGAGAACTCAATATTAGAAGAAAGAAAAACATTAGAGTTCTTTAATAGATAAGTAGGGTTTCTGTCTCTTTCTTATGTCATGAGTTGCCTTTGTAATTGAAGTGCCTTTTAAAGACTGGAAATTATGTGTATTATGAGAAGCAGAGTCTATATTTCCTGATAATTTTATTTTTAATTTGTGAAGAGACTCAAAGCTGAGGCCTAGTAATTTTATTCTTAAGGGATTACTGTTAGAACAACTTCTTTTTTAACTCCTGATTAATTAGAAATCCTTGACTTGCTTCTATCGTGAATAGCTTGTCTAAAAATATTTCAACTCCTGAGCCAGATTGTATTGAGATGTTTAGCTGAATCCACGCTGTTTACCAATGTGAGGTAGTTTTTGTTGATTGATAATATTATACTGTCAAAGTGCAGAGCAAATCATATAACAATGTGATGCTTCAGATGTAAAATAGAATCAAAGACCTGAGAGTTTCAAGGGTAATGTATCGTTTTTTCTTTTTCTAAAATAGAAACTGTATACAATTTGAGAGAAGAGAATAGACAACTAAGGAAAGCACACCAAGACATACACACACAACTTCAAGATGTCAAGGTAAAGTGCAGTGAGATGTGTGTCTTCTTGATGTGTCCCTGCTTTTCCCTGTTGAATGAGTGTAAGTCACTTGACGTGCTTTCCAACACCAGACTGTTACTGTGGGCTTTGTACAACTGGAAGACACCTGGTATTTTTACCACTTGAGCATTGTGAGGTACAAAAGGCAGTCTGCAATCTGAATGTTTTCACTAATACTGAAATTGTTCTTTCAGAAATTGGTTGTATTTTAACAACATTTATATTTCCAGAAGTTTTTTAATGAAAGATATGTTCCTTTGGTTTTGATTTCCCTGTAAATGATTACATTTGGGTAGCATATTTTAGATTTTGAATGGCTACATAAATCTTAGTCTTCCATTCCCAGTAATTTTAAAGTTAAAAGCAAAATATAAACAAGCAAGTAGTGTTTAGATAGTTCATAACAAAGAATCTGTTTCATAACATAAAGCTCAACCTGTAAAATTCTTTTTTGTATAGCAACAGCATAAGAATTTACTCTCCGAGCATGAACAACTTGTAGTGACTTTGGAAGACCACAAGAGTGCACTAGCTGCTGCACAGGTTAGAAGGGTAGCAGCCTGTCAGTTCTTCTAAAAGTCTGCCTAATCCTGCCAAATTCTTCTATGCATGTAGTCTCTTACAAGTCACTCTTCAGTGAATTTTTAGGAAAGAGCTATCCTAATTCTGAAAACAGTGCATGCATTTCAAATCCATCCAAGAGAATATTAAGCATTTGATTTATTTTTTGCACTGGTCGTATGCTGCATCTGACTAATGCTACTTCTACTAGGTCCTAAATGCAGTAGCCTAATACTCACTTAAATCAAAGGAATTGTCCTATACATATTTTGCAACTATCTGATCTGTGTCAGCTCTTGGTGTGGGATGTGTAGTGCTTTATGGTGCTGGCTACCTAAGTAACTCATTGTCACTTTGTTTTCCTCGTGTCTTTCCCTCATTCACAGCATTCAAACCTACACACACTCTTTTTGGGACAAGGTTTATGGGGTTGGTGTTGGTCAAATCACAGAAAAGTAGAAGAGTCATTAGAGGAGGAAAAACTATTTGTTCAAAGCCTAGAGCAGCCCTTGGAAAAAGGCAGGTTCTGAGTGCGTATTTACTGAACGAAAAAGAGACGCCTCGCTTACTCACTGTATTAAACTACATCTCCATTCTTTTGGCATTACAAAAGGGCAAAGTTACAAACTACCTGAGAGAATTTATACTGTTACTTCTCTTCATGAAATTATCAAAACATGCAATATGCTGGGTCCTAAATCGTCTCTGAGGCCATAGCTTCTATATTTGTGGGACTCTTAAGACAGTCATTCACTGTCTTTCTAGTAAACTTTTGCTGTGTAGTAGTTTTATTTACAAATGTGTAAAGAAATTGACTTTAGAAGATATTATTTCATTTCAAACTTTTTGTGAACTTTTATCCAGTGTTATTTTTTTTATTTAAGGAGAAAAAGAAAAAAACAGAAAAAGGGTACAAGTAATACAGAATTTCAAAAAAATAAACAATAGAAATCACTAGTTAATAGATTACATATTGTCATCTTAGAAATAGTTGTTCAAGTTACAAAATTAAAGCATATAAAGTGGACATTCAAACAGTGAGACTGTAAACAGTTCTGTTCAATGATCCAACAAAAACTCAGTAATATGGTTACCTATCTTATATGCTTAAATATACATGCAGTTATATCCTTTAGACCACTTTCTTTTCCTCTCTTTTTTACAATGAGAATTACATATTTTGGGCTTTATTACTCCCACAGTTCTTATTACTTTTTTGTAAGAGAATAAAACCAAATGTGACATAACAAAACGGAGTCAGTCAAATCAAAAGGATGGACGTAGTACATAATGTAAAAACAGAATACAAGGTGATCAATATTGGTTACCATAATGCATCTTGCTATCTTAAAAAGAATTGCCTATATCATCAGTTACAGTAAAATTGAACAAAACAGTAAAGAACAAAACCAATAAAACCAAAACATTGGAGACTTTATAGGACTTCAAAAGAAGATAATAATCAAACCAGAATGGGCATCATAGTGAATCTTATTGTCTTCACAGTTGTTGCCTATACTTTCAAACTTGGTACTATCAAGCAAAACAGAATAGAGTGAAATCAGTCAAAACAAGATGGTGAGAGCAATACAGGGTTTCAAATCAAGTTAATAAGAAATCAAAGTGGGTTACTATAGTATATACTGCTATTTTTTTATTTATTTTTCCCTTAATTAAAAAGATAAAAATAAATAATAATAAAGGAGATTGAGATAAAAGAGGACATAACAACAAAACAGTACAGGTCAGAACCTAACCATTTAAGCAAAATAGTGTTTCACCACAAGATATCCCGACATAATAGTAGTTACCATAGTGTCTCTTTCCTTGAAATCTTTGAGTATAACTTCGTATATTGTAGTATCAAACATATCAAGACAATGTAAAACCATTCAAGAGAATGACAGTATTACAGGGTATTTAGAACCAACTAACAGAAAATGAACAACGATTTCTGCATTATCTCCTTGTCTATAAAAGTTTATGTTTACATTATCACATATAATAAAATCCAATAAGGTACAACATGTTAAGACTGATGGAGACAGAAGAACAAAAGCTTGATGGGACTTCAAAACAAGATGCTATTAAATCAGCATTAGCTATTGTGATGTCTTGTTTTTTCCAAAATAGCTGTTCCTACCATCCAACCTTCTCTGCGTCATTTCTGTTGAGCTCTTTTTCTGTCATCAGTTGTCAGTTTGTCTTCTTTATTTTGCTTTCTGCTCCATTCATTGTGGCCGCTCTGCCACTGTTTCTGGAATCTTGATATTTTTCTCTTTTAGAATGTCCTGCAGTAATCTTGTAGAGTTGAATTGGTGGTTGCAAATTCCCCTAGTTCCTCTTTATCCTGGAAGCACCTTGTTTCTCCATTGATTTCTAGGGACAGTTGTGCAGGATATACCAATCTTGGCTGGAGGTTATTGTCTTTCAAAGCTTGAATTATTTCACCCCACACTCTTCGTTATTTGATGGTTTGTGCTGAGAAGTCTGCTGTAATTTTGATGGGTGTTCCCTTGTAAGTGATCTATTTCTTGTCTCTGACAGCTTTTAATATTCTGTTCTTATATTGGATTTCTGGAATTTTGATTATTATATGCCTCAGTGTGGTTCTGTTGGGGTTGTAGGTGGCTGAGGTCCTTTATGCCTCATAGATCTGAGTATCTTTCCCTTTTCTCATATTAGGGAAGTTCTCCTTGATTATTTCTGTGAATAATCAGAACTGCAAAATGCCTTTGCAGTTCATTTTTTTTATTCCTGCTTCTTCCTTTACATTCTTAATTCTTAAGTTATAGATCCTCTTATCATTTTTTTTATTGTTACTGCTTGTTTCCTTGTTATTTTTAAGAAGTTTTTCCTTTCATGCTCCCACATTACAAATCTGTCCTCCAGTTCAGATAATCTATCCTTAGTTTCATTCAAGCTGCTATGCCAGCTTTCAATAGTTTTTAGTTTCTTGGTAATCTCTTTGAACCTGCTTCATGTATTCTATGTTTTCTCTATTTTCTCCATCAAACACTTCTCCCTTTTTTTTCTGTTCTTCCATTCCACCATCTGTTTTTTTCTTGGGAGGTGCTTAGCATTCATTTCTTTAACTATTCTACTTATATCTTGCTTTACTTGGTTAAATAGTTCACTTTTGAACTCGTCTATGAGGTCCTGGAGATATTGCTTTATGTCTATTGGTGCCGTGCCTGATATTGCATGTTTTCTGTCCTCATTCTCCTTTGCATTTACCTTTCCTGGATCAGTGTTCTCAGAATTGGGGACTGAGGACCTTTCTTGTTGCTCCCTCTACTTTTTGTTCCTTCCATACAAGCGTATATAGGAGGCCCAGTTTCTTTCTTTGTTGGTTACAGTTTGTTTGAATCGCACTGGCTAGGTGTTCCCGCCCACTGCAGTGTACTAGGGAGACACAGACCTGGGCAGTCTATGCTGGGCCTGGCCCTCCAGATCAGTCAACTTGCTGAAGGGTGCACAGCCAGGCCCAGGGACCTGTTTTGGGCTAGCCTATTGGGTCTTAGTCCGTGGTGTCACCCAGGTCAAGCACTCCCCACCAGTCCCACTTGAGAGGGAAATATGTGACTAAAGTCCCTGCAACATCCCATTCCGGCTAGTCTGCCTGGTCCCAGAATGTCCTGTGTTGGAGTCTCCTAGTCTGTGGAAGGGTCCCCATTCCTTTCACTCACTGCAGGTCGATGCAGGGCTCCCTGCCAGCTCTGCTCTCAATTTGGTTCACCGATTCCTGCTCTCAGAGCTTTTGCGTCTCTATCCCTGCTGTGCCGAATCAGATGCAGCAGCCGTGGCAGGAAATTCAAGCCGCAGTTTCCAGAGGCACGGGTTTCAGCTTCAGCACTGAGATTTTAGCTGTTCCAATCGTAGCACTGGGATTGCATTTCCAGTTGGTTTCTCTTGGCTTAGTTCATTCCTGAGTTGGCAGGGTATATCTCCCCCTGCTTAGGACTACCCACACCACACCATTCCTGGAATCTAAGCTGGCTATCTCAGAGAGCCTCGGTAGCTGCTGTTATCTATCCACCATGTTCTCCCAGAAGTCTGTCCAGTGTTATTTTATATGAAGTTGTTCTTTATACTATAAATTGTGACAAACTGATTTGGATACACTGTGCTATAATAACTGTAAATACCTTATTAAGCAACAATCTGAAAGCTCATGATAAGAAAATATAGCTGACATTAATTTCTCAAGGAAGAATACTGGCAATATTACTGATAGAGTTCTGTAAAGGAAAAAATTTACAGGTACATAGTTTTCTATTTCTCTAAATGTCTTTTTTGAGGGAGTACTGTTAAGTTTTGCTTGCCTTTTAAAATAGACATTCTATGACAAAGGTGATAATGAAAGCCATATGTCTTAGTTTGAGCTGCCATTAAAACACTATAGAATGAATGGCTTATAAACAGTAGAAATTTATTTCTCATAGTTCTGCAGGCTAAAAGCCCTAATGTCGGGTGCTAGCATGATTAGATTCTTTCAGGGTTGAAGATTCCTTGTGTCCTCAAAGAATGAAAGAGATGGAGAAAGTTCTGAGGATTCCCTTTTGTAAAGGCACTAGTCTCCTTCCTACAAGCTCACTCTTGTAACCTGATTACCCTGCAAACTCTTTACCTTTTGATACCATCACATTGAGAATTAGGATTTCAGTATATGAATTTTGAAAAAATACAAACATAAAGAAACATATGGGAACTTTTCCCTAAATTTCCTTTTTAAAAAATGCTGTTTCAGGTATCTACATTTTTCATGCAGATCATCTTCTGGGTTCTGCCTTGACCATTTAATTTTTAAATATAGTTAAGGACTTTATATCTTTATAATCCAGGGAGGTGTGTAACATTTTATATCGAGGTAAACTGAGACCAAAGGGAAGTATACAGTAGTTGACCCATGATAGGTAGGTGACCAGAACCAAGTTTGAAGCTCAAATCTTTCTGGTTTCACTATGAAATTTAATTATGAAGTATATGTGTTGAGGCTTCCTTGTCTCGTTACCTGGATCTTGCCCTAGACCCTTTAAATCACAACTTCTGTATTGGGAACCCAAACGCCTACATCTTTAACTAATATCAGAGCCACAGAATTTATTGCCTTCAAATGTTAGGTATCTTGGAGAAGAAAAAAAAAGTATAATTGAGTTTCGTGTATTCTTATGTAGCAACCTGCTGCAGCTCTAGATGTTCCTAGAAGGAAGTTGCAGTAAGAGGATAAGAAAACAAAGACACAAAAGCTGGGCTCAGGTGGAGCCTTACTCACCTCATGGGAGAGAAGGAACTGGCCCCTTATTGCCAGGTGTTTATTTATACCTTTTAGCAACTTAATGTCACATGACACCCTGTTGTCCTAGCGAACCACTGTTCAGATCGTCTTGGGGCCAGGTGTTCTCTGGGCTGAGGCAGCTTCTTCATGTGGCTTGCCCTGGCCCCAGGCGATCTTTGATCTCAGGATGGTCATGCTCCAGCCTTGTGCATGTGGTCGGTTTCCAGCTTCAACAGCTCTCAACATTCTTCCATGAAACTTAAACTATTAAAAACATCACTGTGTGGCTGTCATTTGTTTTCTTCCGTGACTTCCGAAGTTCCAAAGTTGGTTTACAAGTTTTGAAAGATTTCTGAGATAAGGGACACGACTAGCCATGTGGTACACCTTACTACAAATTATATGCAGGCACTATTCTGGCACAGATTCAGCAAACAGACTTTTTCTCTTTTGGGCAAATTAGAGAGAAGCAGAAATATGTCTCTTCACCGGGGTAGAAGCGCACTGGGAAACATGGCAGGGCTCCAGCAGCAGTGGGCCTGCCCATACCAGCTTGACTCGCCCACTCTGCTGGGTACCCTGAAGAAGGCAGCCCTCTCTCGGGATCTTGTTTACAGAAAGATTTGCTGTTCTTTGTATGTGCTCATGTAAGTGTGTATGTACACATACAGCATTTTTTTCAGTATAGCATTGGTGGTACATACAATGAGTCCTGTATACAGAGCATCTACTGATTTTGTCAAAATTGATTTGTTTTTAATCTTTTCAGCTCTTTGTATTAAAAATATTACACTACACACGACATGCCACATGTGCATTCACTCAACAATATATGCATATAGATCTGTCTTTGTGAGTGTGTTAATCCTTGTACCTGCATTACTGCCCTTATCACTTTAAAAGGGTATTCAGAATCGAAGAATAGAAACCCAGACCCATGCTTGTTTCACTACTTTTTTAGGAACAACAGAGCACACAGTCTAGGAAGCATTCTAGCAGATAGAGGGCCCAGTGTGAGTACAGACTCACTCAGATGGAGAGGGTGACCCGAGCAATTCTCTCTGTCTCTCTCTCTCTCTCTCTGTCTCTCTCTCTCTCTCTCTCTCTCTCTCTCTCTCTCTCACCTCCTTGATTCCTTTCCTCTGAAAATTTTACTCATACCATATTGCTAAAGATAATACACAATTGTATTTGTGTAACTGTAAATTTTTAAGATTTTTAATGTGATGAAATTTGTATTGCATATTTTAATAAAGAAATTTATACTAGAAAGTTATTTATAAAAATTATAACTTTGTTTAATGTAGCACAGATGACTAACATCTGCCTTAGGTACTTTTTCTTTTAACACTAATTCTAATATGCATGTGCTCAGACGGTTAAGCATGTCCAAGAAGAATAACAATGCATGAAAACTAGGTATTTTCTTTTTTGGATGTATGCATAATAGTTTTGCCTTGTCTTCTAGTGAACTTAAATACCTATCTGTAAATGATTTTTTTTCCTTCTCTAATTGTGCAATGTGCATCCAATTGTGCAATTTCTATGCAGACTCAAGTTGCAGAATATAAACAGCTGAAAGATACTCTGAATAAGATTCCAAGCTTTCGAAAATCTGACCAAACAGAGCTGCAAAATGTTACCCTTACCCAAATGGCACATTCTCCACAAGGTTACAACACAGCGAGGAGGCAGCCAACCGGGAAGCCACAAGGGGTAAGAGGCACAGACTGCTGGTGGTCTATGGTTAGGCCACTTTCCCTGTGCATCTGTCACAAGATGAACTGCTCTCCGTAGTGCCCCCTCTGCAGAGTAATATTCTCCAACTTTAGTGTGTGTCAGAATCTCCAGTAGGGCTTATTAAGACACAGACTATTGAGCTGCAGCCAGTGTTTCAGATTTAGTTCATTTGGAGGTGAAGCCTGCAGGTTTGCACTTCTAACTGATTCAGCCAAGCTGGGGAGAACATTTTGACAACTACTATTGCAGGGTTTTCTGGGAAGGACTTTACTGGCTATGTCTTTTTCATGAGGACTTACTTGTCTTAAAGGAGCTGTAGAATCTGAGTGTTTCAAGGTTGGTTGATTTATATTTTTCCTTGACGAGGGTGAGAAGGTTAAATAGTCAGGGGTTATTATATGACACTCACATACTAAGTCAGTATCCTTAAAGTTGGGACAGTGCTGGGCCGATAGAAGGCATGTCAAGATGTATATTAAAATACATGCATGACGGTGCCGGGATATAAGTGGTTTATTGGAAGTCAAGACTTACTTAAGATCTCCTCCTAAGTGAGAGGTCAAAAATGTCCTTATTATTCTTACAGTTATTTTTGCAATACAACATGTAATAAAAATGAGAAGTATGCTTGTCTTTCCCCTAGTAAAGTCCTTTTTAATGGCAAATGTTTGAGAAGACTTCCCCCAGGTTGACTGAGTGGACTTCATGTATGATGGTCTTCACTCTCCTCAGAGCATTTCTTCACTGACAGATTCCATGTCCTTGTAGACTCTGTTTTCTCTCTGGGTCTTGTGGTAACTGTTAGCTTAAACATGTTAGATAAGTCACTTGCCTGTCATTTGGTTCTGCCCTCTTCTACTTTGACTAGCATTTTACTGGGTTGATCTTCTGATGACTCACAGCTTCAGTTTTTTACTTGTGAGTTGGCAATAGTAGTTATTTGTTCTAACCTCCTTCACAGACATAGTGTGAAGCTTTATATCAGGTGTTTGAAATCACTTAGAAATCTAGAAAAATATTTCCTTTAAAAGGCAGGGCAGTATTAAGTGTAACTTACCAGATAGCTTAGGATCTTAGTAAAATGTACAGCTCTAGAAGTTGCACTCAGGTGTCTCAAAAGTGACTTTTTCTCCCCAGTCAATCAGTCGTACAGTTCCATTTCTAAAATTTGATAATTGTATTTCTGTTAGTTTTAGAATACTATTCCACATTTATTTTCACTGTGGGAAAGTAATATGACCAAAGAAGTAAATTTTTTCTGATGAAGAAGGCTAAGGAAGAAAAAAGGTGTGAAAGATTTATATTACTGCTCAATATTATATTATTGCTCCTTTCCTGAGTAATGGAGATTATATAGAGACCTCTGAAGCTATGGGAAAAACTTTTGAATCAACCAATTTTAGAGTGGTAGTATTCTAAATCATGACACTTTTGTTGTTCTGTTCAGTTTTCTGTACTGACAATACATATTATTTACAAAACACTGACTTACACAGGATTTATTTTGATATATTAAGATTTATTTATACATTAAGAATACTTTGTTGTATCTTAGCTGGCACTATTTTAAACATGGATATCCTTAGCTCTGAGGCCAGAAAGCACCTCTGCAATATGCAGAAAGAAGGGTATGCAGAAAGACCTATCTGCATAACACAACTAAGGTAGCATTCAATGTTTGGGGGGCAGTGCTTCAGCACTGATGTGCAAAATTTTCTGCCCTGGGAGATCATAACCACTTGTCTCAAGGCTCGAACCCAGTGGACAGCCCTGGAGCATTGGCTTTGTATCCTGTTGGGCAGGGATACAGCAACTGTGTCTAACTTCAAAGATTACAGATTAGTACATTCAGACAGCCCTGTTTACATTGCTCAAAGCCAATTAAAGGGAAAAGGATATAGCTTAGACAGCTCTGTACATATCAGTACATAGAGTTAGGGCAAGGTTTAGCCAAAGTAGAGATAATTGGTCTTTATTCAGGGAGAGTCACCAGGTGCTCCTCTACCAATATCCACATGTACCCTTGGACATAGAGGTATTGTATCACTACCCTTGAAATACAAGAGTGTCATTTCTTGTTATGTGTTTGGCCTAGGAGTCTCGCTATAATGATATATGGCAGAAGCAAGAAGCGATGCCTGGACGAGCAGAAAAAATGCAATCTTATACTCCCACCCAGAAGGGAGCAGAATTCCAGGCTGCTGCAGAGCACAACCCACAGGAAGTGGAGGCCAGAGAGCCAGAGGTGCGCCAGGTGGAAGAGGAGCACAGGAAGGCCCTGGAAGAGGAGGAAATGGAGCAAGTTGGGCAGGCAGAACGTCTCGAGGAGGAACACGATCCATCGCCCGAGGAGCAGGACCAGGACTGGAGAGAGCAGCGTGCTCAGAAGGAAGCAGCCAGCATGCTGGGAGGGCATCCTCAGGCTGAGGTGCAGACCCCCACTCTGAGTCCATGGGGATGGGAAACATGGCTTTGCTTTTCAATAGTAAAGACAAATCCTTGTGTATTACAGTGTCTTTAAAAATTGGAAGATTTCATCCAATGTAATGTGCATATATTTGTTTATTATTATAATATTCATAACATAGCTACTTATGTACCTCAGAAAGGTGGTGGGCCACCAGAACAATTGCAGCTGGTGTATGTAGAGTTCTTCATGTTGTCAGTGATGCACAGAGATCCGTGCTCACGTCCCTCAGAAGAGAGGCCTAGGTGGGCACCTTAACAGTCACTTTGCCGTAATGTGCTCAGGTCCCATCTAGAGGAGCTTGAGATAGAAAAGGTCTTGTTTTCTTGGTATTTTGGTTTTTTTTTAATAATCAGGAATCTCCCTCTTATTTGGGTAGTGCCAGTTGGTGTAGTGGCATTTGCCCATTCCCTTTCAGTAGTGAGTAAAACTGCACTCGGGAAGCTGAGGTAGGAGGATTGCTGAAAGGGAGGCCAGTCCGGGCTGCATGGTGAGTTCAAGTCCAGCCTGAGATACATAGCAAGGTATTGTCAAAGCAACACAACCAAAACGAAGCAGCTACTTTGCCATGTGGGAATACTCTACTAGGTAACTATGTTTAATCAGTTTCTGCTTTGTCCCTGCTGCTCCTTGTACATAAGTAAAACTTTCTACCTTTTACAAAAGGTAGGCTCTCACTGTTAGTAGTACTTCAGCAGAAACATGGAGGCAGCCACTTTCCTTTCTTCTACTACCTCTGCGCTGACACCCCATGATGGGTCGCCTGGCCTTGGCCTGGGTGCCGATTGCCTCTGTACCTCTGACGCTTTGGGCGCAGAGAGACTTAGAGTTCCCTGCGGCTTCGGCCACGTGGGTGTCCTGGCCTCCACAGCTGCCTTCCTGTATATTTGCTAACACAGCCTCAGGCAGCCTCTGCCAGTCTGTGCCCTTCCTCACCGAGGGTAGCAGTGCCCCACTTGCTTTAACTTCCCTTAACTTTGTGTTCTGTTTCCTTTGTTCAATTGTGTGTGCCTGTGCTTGTTGGCCGGGATGGGAAGGCAGCGAGGAGTTCAATGGAAAACATAGTTTTAAGTATCGCTTCTCCTAGTTTCCTTTGATCAAGCAGTACTGTCTTCTTAATTATTCCTGTTTTCCTTTGAAGAAAATCAATTTTCTGCTTTCCCACTGTCACCTGGAGTGTGACATATTTTGTTTCTGCTAACTTAGGACTGTATATACATTGCTGGAGTTAATTAGCATTCCTGGGTCTTTAACTCTTCATGGAAAAATCCTTAGCCTCACAAATGGCCCAATTAGTGTAGGCTACAAAGTACCTAGCTGTTGCAGAAGCTTGTGAACATAAATTTAATTACAATTTGAAACTGATTTCTTATGTTATGTGCTCTGTTCCATTTTGAGCAAGGAGCATACTCAGAGTCTGCCTTAATGTCCGCAAATTGGGAAGGTTGTAGTTGCCAAGAAAAGCCAAAGTCAATGCAGAGAAAGCTGGAAAACAGGAGTTCTCTCGACTGTATTGGGTCACCTCAGAAACAGGTGTCAATAAACCAGCTGTGCTTCTGAATTTGGCGTGAGACCAGTGAAGGCAAAACTCTGAGGGGAGGATTCCTTTGGCTCAGAATCAACACTTCTTTGCACCAGGTGTACCCTTCAGCCAAGCTGGTTACCCGATTCCGATCCCCGTATGAGGAGCAATTGGAGCAACAGAGGCTGGCAGCGAGGAGGGACGAGGAGGCCCAGCGGCTACGAGAACACCAGGAAGCCTTGCACCAGCAGAGGCTGCAGGGACACCTGTTGTGGCAGCAGCAGCAGCAGCAGCAGCAGGAGCAGCGGGAGCAGGAGCGGCAGTTTCTGGCCAGAGAGATGGCCCAGCAGAGGCAGGCTGGGCACGAGGAGGGCCTGCGGCAGCACCAGGAGCAGCTACGGTAGCCTTGCCCTCCCTTTCCTCGATGGGTTCAGGCAGCCCTTCCTCAGCCTAATCAAGAAATGAAACATAACTTGTACATTGGTGACACGGGGACACGAGTGGCTCACATAGCCAAGCTAGAATAATGACTTGACAATTAAGGGCCAGATGTTTAATTTCAAATATAACCAGCATTTTTTTCTATTTAAGAGCAATAGTTTAGGTCTGACAGTAGCCTAGCAGCCTTTATGCTAACTCTATTTTTCTTATCACTGAAAGATATGCTGCCTTTTTGAAAGCATATTTTTATTATTATACCTTATTGTGTACTTAAAAAGTTAAAAAAAATAGGACTTTTTAAGAGGCGTTGAAAAATTGTATTACTATCTTGAAAGATAAATGACCTGTGTCACTGAATTTATAATGTTTGTGCCCCTGACAGGCAGCAAGCTCACTATAATGCTGTGGATAACGATATCATTCAGGGACCAGAGGACCAGAGAGTCCAAGAAGAGGAAGGAGGTGGTAAGACTTCTTTAATGACGAATGGTTTTAAAAAATCACTAGGTAACACTATATGACACCAGTAAGCTGATTTTATGTAACACCAAGCAGGTAAAAGCATAACTGAGTAGCTGCACAAAAGACCTGTGAACTATGCTTCTTTCGTTGTTACTGAATTAGTCGTAATCCTGAGAGTATACACTGGTTTCAAAAACCAATCAAAATAATCTCTCTCCTCTGTAATATTTTCTCCATAGTTTAATCTTTTTGCATATGAAAAAGTTGTTTCTGACAAATCATCATAGGATTATTGTGCTCTGGAGAAATTCCAACATTTTCTTCTTTCCTTGGAAGTCTCTGCATCATTGTCTCAAAAGTTTTTAAATTAAATCAAAAACAGCTTTTCTTTATGATAAAGTTCTAGCATGTAATTTATCAAATGTTGCTTGCTGTGATGACAGAGCTACACAGTAACTGTCTCCCTGGCACCACGAATGCTTAGATGGGCATTGTTTCCTAAGAAGAGTCTCAAGGGGAGGTGGTGACCCACACTCCCTCCCTTGCAGTGATATTTTATAGCTGTAAGAGTCAAGGAAGTGTTTTCCTTATGTCCCTCAGGAGTCACTTTAAGTTGTTTTGTTCTCCTACCAGTAAGACTAGAAAACAGTTTTCTACCCTTCTTTATTTAATGAATTCCTTTGTGCACCTATAAATTACCCTCTGTATTTTCTGTAACTGAAGACTATCCATAATTCCCTCTTTTATCCTACTACCTTCAAAACTGATTTGCTCTTATTGCTGTTACAGTTCTCATCACCTAAAGATTTTTTTTTCAAAAGCAGCAAGAATTCATCTGCATGAATGTAAGTGTGTAATGTGTCTCTGTTGTGGCACCGTCATCATTGCTGTATTAATGGGCTGGATTTTTTATGGTGGTGTGCTTCATTTTACTCATTTAAATTTTAGCTGTAGAAAAAAATCAGAACAGCTTAGCGTTGAATTGGTACAAGGGCCAAGAGCAAACAAGTTTCTTTGGACGCTTAGAAGCTAGGAAGTCACTGTCCCCATTTTGCAGAGGCTCTGGGAAGTTGATTAGGAGCCAGCTAAATAGCGACATCTGTTCTTCCTGCATCAACTCAAACACAGTCCTCAATCATTTGATGTTGACTGTTCTCAGATTCAGCCTTTTCCAGCTGGAGCTCCCCTAATGGAGCAGGAGGCCAGCAGCAGATCTGCATTGTGAATTCCTTGCCCAAAACTGCATCCACGAAGCAAGCCCCTGTGGAAGAGTTGGGTGGCTGAGGCAGTGTGATCTGTCTAATCTCTGTTTGGAAATGACTGTCAGGCAGAACTTGCAGGGTTTATACAGCTATCTCCTAACCCTGCAGTGGCCTGTGTATACTGATGACTTCTTCTAGAAGCCTTCAAGACTCCAGTGAGGTTTTCTGTTCTTCATGGGATGGGGACTGAAGGCAACTGCATTTCTGCCTCACTTTCAGTCAGGAATTCATCTGACTATAGGATAGTGAGATGTCGATGTCCGCTCCCGGCCGGCAGGAAGGACACACGACAAAGTCTGGTAGTGGACAACCTTTTCTTTTTATTTTCCTTCTCCGTACAGCCTGCCCTGGGTTCTCCCAGCTGAAGCCTCCTCTGGTCCGCTCCCCGCGGCTCCTTTTGTGCTTCAGTCTGCCCCAAAGCCTCTACCGGTCCGCTCTCCGTGGCTCCTTTTGGGCTTTTACTTCTGGGCTTCTACCTGGCTTCTTCTTCCGCCCAGGGGTGGCACCGGTATATATACGGGTACAGTGTCCAATCATGTTAAAGTGAGCAAGGCAAGCTGATTGGCTAACATCATCAGTTGCCAGGCAGACTATATTGTTGAGCGGGTTGCTTACGCGGTAAGCAGGAAACTAACGTGCTCGATGGGAGGGGCAATCTACCTCAGGCTTCACTCTTTACTACAGGCCGCACGTCCGCCGCGCAAGGCGAGCTATCACAGACGTGGCTCCCAACATCTCCCCCTATTTTATTTTTTATGAATGTGCGCATCGTAGCCCTTCCTGGACTGGGTGCAGAGGCTTATGCCCTATGTGTAGGCCCACCGTAGGTCCTTGGCTTAGACCCTGGTTGGCCATGCCATGGTCTGCCAAGGCCCTGAGGCCCTCGTCCTTTTTCTAGGGCCAGGCACAAACTGGACGGAACCTGGATGCACACAAGCTTGCACTCATTTCCTCTCCGTAAAGAAATCCCCTCGGAGAGAAATTTAGACCTGGGCAGCATCTAACAGTCCAGCGGCTTACGTGCAGGATGGGGTAGGGCCTGGCTTAGGTCGAGTCGTGCTGGGGAGGCACGCTCTTACCCGTCATTGACTCACCTACCCTGCTGTGTATTGTCACCTTATGGAGGAGAATGAGGGATGCCCGCCATATCTAGACTCGGTCGTGGGCCAATTGAGCAAGCCATGCATATGCCTGAGGATCTTCTTGTCCATTTCGGGCTACCGCTATTTCTATTCATCTTGTTGGTTGGTCTGTGATGGATCTCCGGTAGGGCAGGTCTGATCTTTAGTCGAGGGCTTTGTTGCCCGTGTCAGTCTCTCCGGTATCCACAGTGGTTCTCGTCCCGGTTCCTGTGGGAAAACACAAACCGCGCCTCGGTTCCAGCTGACCACTGGATCCGGGCCCATCCATTGTCCTGTCATAGATAACCGCGCCTTTGGAGGCAGGCCTTGGCTTACTCCCCCTTTTTGTTTTTTATTTTTTATTTTTTATTTTTATCTTTTTCGTTTTTTTTTTTTTTTTTTTTTTTTTTTTTTATTGGTACCAGGGATCGAACTGGCGATTGCCTGCTTACAAGGCAGGCGCTTATGCCGCTAAGCTAAATCCCCAGCTCCCATTTCCTCGACCGGCGTTTCTCTCAGCCTGCTCTGCAGAGAACTCTGCGTACCAGGCTCGCCAATCCAGGTAACTACCCGAGGGCAGACACGCCTTTGCCAGCTGAATCCAGTCCGCGGGGGTGAGGGGCCCAGAAGACAGATTCTCCAGCATGGCAATGGTGTAAGGCGCAGTCGGCCCAAAGGTTGTAACTGCATTTTTAAGTTCTCTAATCTGCTTTATCTCAAAAGGCTCCCATACATTGCGTCCCTGGCCCATAGCTACTTGTACAGGAAATATCCCGTAGGGGCCACTATCTATCCCAGGTGGATGTACCTCATGAGACAAGCGTCCCCCCTGCCAAAGCCGCCTGTAAAAATACCGACCCGCCGGCGGCGGAGCATAAGACAGCGGCCGTGATTGGGCGGAAAATGGGGGCCCGTGCATCACTTCCTGTTCTGGCGAAAGGGGAGAGAGCTCCCAGGCGGCCGCCTCGTGGCGAGGAATCGCCTCCGGAAACGGCCCCCAAGGTGGGGCGGAAGGCTTCGCCTCCCTCTCGCGCCGGGGAGCGCTCAGGAGCTCTCTACTCCTCCGCAGACCAGGTTGAGCAGAGCGCAATTCGCGGGGCAACGCTGGAAAAGAACCCTGCGACTCCTTATCGAGCGACTTGGGCTCCTGACAGCTGGTCTCTTTGGCCTCCTTGCCATTCAACTTTCCCTCGTCCTCGGAGTCAGACGACTCCGAGGCTAGAGCCCCGTCCTCCTCCTTAGCATCCTTGTTCCCCTTGACGGGCCCCTCTCGGGAGCTCCCCGACTGGGCCTGCTCAGATACCCTGCGTACTTTTGTAAGCTCTTGAGAGCTTTCTCCACAACCACCCTCGCTCTTAGTGTTGCTACCTAACATGTTTCCCATCTTTTAATATGTTACTCACCGCGTGAGGCCCAAGGAATCCGCCACTTACGCGTGAGCCTGAGGGGAGTCTAAAAGCCCTGTAGGTGCGCGCCACCCAGAGCCCAGGCTTATCCCCAACTCACCTGTCTCGCAGCTCTGTACTGGAGCGTTGTCCACTTCCACGTCTCGGGGGTGATCAGTCCCCGGGCGGGCCTCCAAATGTCGATGTCCGCTCCCGGCCGGCAGGAAGGACACACGACAAAGTCTGGTAGTGGACAACCTTTTCTTTTTATTTTCCTTCTCCGTACAGCCTGCCCTGGGTTCTCCCAGCTGAAGCCTCCTCTGGTCCGCTCCCCGCGGCTCCTTTTGTGCTTCAGTCTGCCCCAAAGCCTCTACCGGTCCGCTCTCCGTGGCTCCTTTTGGGCTTTTACTTCTGGGCTTCTACCTGGCTTCTTCTTCCGCCCAGGGGTGGCACCGGTATATATACGGGTACAGTGTCCAATCATGTTAAAGTGAGCAAGGCAAGCTGATTGGCTAACATCATCAGTTGCCAGGCAGACTATATTGTTGAGCGGGTTGCTTACGCGGTAAGCAGGAAACTAACGTGCTCGATGGGAGGGGCAATCTACCTCAGGCTTCACTCTTTACTACAGGCCGCACGTCCGCCGCGCAAGGCGAGCTATCACAGACGCGGCTCCCAACAGTGAGAGATGAAGCAGCCCTTGGCAGGAAGCAAGCAGAACAGATCCCACCCTTTCGCAGTCTTCTCTTGTCGACTTCACACCTGTGTTGGCCTTGAGGTCTTTGTAGACTGTCCATGCCATCATTACCATTAGAGATCTGCAGAGGGTCTATGTCTCAGTACTTCCTTTGTTGTTGGAACAAAAACCTCAAGTCCATTACTTAAGTGAGGTAAGGTTTATTTTGCTTCATGTTTTAGGCCCTAGTCAGCTGGCCCCAGGGTAGGATGGCTTGGCAGAGGGGCATAGTTGAGGAGAGCTGCTCACAGCATGACAGACAAGAAGCAGAGAGAAGAGGGAGTGTGCACTTTACCAGGTCATGCTCCCTGTAACCCGTATCTTCTGGCTAGGCTCCACTACCCACCACTGTGCCAGCTGCCAGTCACCTTCCATAAGCACTGCCTTTGACCATACGAGGCTGTGGGGGGACATCCTTATATCAGCCATAACAGTGTGGGAGGTACCACCTTGCAAGGAGCCATGTAGGCTCTTGTCTTCAAAACTGAGTGTCACTGCTTGTCCAAAGCCAGGGAAATCTTGCTGGGAAAGAAGCATATAAATTTTGAAAACATGTGCAAGCTGAGCTGCTTGCCAGGCAAGACCACCAACAAATATTCCACATCCAGGGGCTGGGGATTTAGCTCAGCGGCCTAAGTGCCTGCCTTGCAAGCACACAGTTGTGAGTTCGATACCCAGCACCAAAAAAAAAAAAATTCCACAGCCAAAATTCACTATAGGAATAAAGCCTATCTATAGCTGTTTATGGAGTCATGTTTTATGTCTGACCACAAAATGTTAGGTAGATTCCTGAAAGGAAATCAGAGGAAAGGAGAGTGACAATGAAGAGGTCTCCATGCTCCTGGCTGTGACAGACACTCCTTAGGACTGTGTAGACAGTCATGGCTGTATCCTCCTGGTGTCACTGTGTGTGTTGACCACTGTGACAGACAATGTGTGGCTTCCAGAATAAAAGCAAAGAGCCCAGTGCCCAATGTGATCAACTTCAGGATAACAGGGGAGGCTTGGCCAGAAATACTGCTTCAGAGTAGTGTCAGAGTAGAGTCCAACACCAGGAACATGTCTAAAGGTGGATCTTCCTCCTGCTGTGTTAATATGGGCTAGTAAAATGCCGTCATGATGAGGTGAACTGGGCCATTTGACAAGGAAATTGTTGATGTAGTGTCAGTGCACTACTGACCTTCCAAAGCTGCATCAGAAGCAGGATCATCAAGCCATGACCATGTCAGTGATTAAATGTCAGGAGCAGAGAGTGCTGATACTCCATAAATTTCCTGAGCAGGTAGGAAAGAAACATCTGCCTCCAAATTGAGAGGCCAGAGAATAACACAGACATGTCCAGCTTTGAAAGTAAATTTGCTTATTAAAGATTACTTTACAGAGCTGTGGAAAATGTATGGGGTGCAACACTATTGATGTTGCCATTGTCTTCTTTACCAAGCTGTGTATTTTTGTGGCTCCAAGGTAAACACTAAAAAACAGAAGAAAACGAGGGGTGCATGGGAGAAGTTAGGTGTACTGCATCCCATCCCATCCTTATCAGGAACTCTGCTGGCCTCAGCAAGCACTGTCGGGTCACAGTGATGGATGTTCTTGTTATAGCACAGTCTGAGTCACAGCCTTGGCTCCTGGAAGGGCTCCTGAATAGCTGGCTAGACCGTGCCCCACTCCTATGGTAACAGGTGGAGTTTCTTTATAGTAACTGAAGCGCTTCTGTTTTTGTCTGAAACGTTTTGGAAGAATATTGTAACTGAGAACTATTGTGTGTTAAATTCATGAAAACATTGCTTTAGAGGCTGTAATAATTCAGTGATCATCTGAGCCACTTTAATACTGCCTTCTGTTCATTGGCCATATTCCATAATTTTGCCCTTACCAACACATTGGTATAGTTTGAAACTACTGCTTGGTTCTTCCTCTTCACCTTCCCTTGCATGTGGCCCTCAAGTTCTTCTAAATTCCTCATCCGTTAACACCGCTGAGGGCATTCAGTATGGTATGTTCATCCACTTCTTCATCAGATGAGTTCTCCTGTGTTTTGTGCCCGGGGTTTTCTTTATACTTTCATGAACGTGGCTGCTTTTGGGGCTCTTCCTATGGCAGAGGCTGGTGTCATCTCAGTTCAGCACTTGCTTTGGCTGCTGTCCCTTCTTTTCATACACATTTCTAACTCTGCTGCAAATGTGGCAGCTTCTTCTTCAACAGCCTGTCTTGTAGTTTTTATAGTTTTCAGTTCGGCTCTGTCACTGAATCTGTTACTTGCAGTAAGCGGCTTGGTGTCACCATTACTTCCCTTCCTTGCTGTGAACGAGTTAGTGTCACTCATTTCAAGGAAGTTCTTACTGAAGTCTTCTCGCAGACCCAGTGCTCCTAGATGCAACTCGCTGCATCCATGGGAACACATTTTCTGTTCACATTTTCCACCCATAAACTTAATACCTTTTTCCATCTTAACTAAGACAGACTCACACATTGTGGCTGTTAACTTGCAGTTTGAGGTGTGACCGCAAAACTAGCATGAATTTCTTTTTCTCTTCAAAATTTTACACATAGAAGATTCATTCTTTCCATAGATCATAGAAACCTCAGTACACCACTTTTTTCTTTTTTTCTTCCTTTTTTTCTTTCCTTTAAGAACTTTCACCTTTGCACTTTAAGGAATCACTTATGCCTTCTTTTTGGGACATCTGAAATGCCAGCATCACGATTCTGCACTTTGGAGCCATTTTTGAGTAAAATGAGAGCTGTCAGAACTCTAGCCTTGTGCTTCCCCAGCAGTGGATCTGATAACAGTGACTAAGGAGCAGGTGATGCGTGCCGCGTGGATAAGCTAGACCGGATGATTCCCCTCCCAGGCTGAGTGGAGCACAACATTGTGAGATTTCATCACATGACTCAGAACAATGCAAAATTAAAATTTATGAAATATTATCTCTGAAATTTTCTGTTTAATACTGTCAGACCAGGGCTGAGTGCAAATAACTGAAACCACAGATAAGGGGCAACTACTGCATTCCTACCACTTCTGACTCCTCTGTGTCCTTAAGGGCTGGAAAGGTGGGCAGGAAAAGACTGGTCATCAAAGAGTGGTCTGCAAGAGAACTGAGGCCCAAAAGGCATTTTTTAACAGTGGGCACCTCTTTCCCAAGACCCAAAAGACTGTACACCCAACATCCCAACGTGTCTTCAGTCCTGGGCTAAGGGCTAGCGAGGCAGCAGGCATGTTTTAAAGGAGATCAGAGCCTGGAAAAGGAAGATGGAGCAGGTGTCACCCTGGGAAGCCTTCGTCACCAGGTGCAGCATAAGCTGTGTCTGCAGAACATGGGGAGGCAGCAGCCTGACACACCTACTGAACATTCAGAGGAAACTTCTGAGGGCTCTGGTGGGCACAGAACCTGGCCACGCCCACTACAGAGGAGACTGAGGAGACGTGGCTGCAGAGAAACATGTTTGCACTGCAGCCAATGGCAGATGCACCCCTGAGCACTTCCTTGTGTCAGCTGCCCGAGCCACGCCCATCCTGTCCTGGAACTGTGAACACTCTTCGCTGTGCCACAGACCTGGCAGCTCTCTCCTCCTGCCAGCCAGCCCTTCTCGCCCCTTCAGCACAGGGGGCAGCTACATGTGGTTCTGTCTATATTTTTGAGTTCCACCACTGAGGTGTTACTGTTTTTCTTTCATTTCCTAATGACATCTCTTCTTTAGGAAACTTGCTGTTTTCTCTGGTATTAACGAAAAATCAGTGCATTCTGTCAGCAGGGTCCGGTGGAATAGACTTGTTTTATTAAGTTTTCCTGTCTGACAGAGAGAAATGCAGCTTCTGTTAGACATTTGTTTTACAAGGGTGGAATGAAGTTGTTCACCCAGACTGTCACTTTAGACACAAAGTGCTGGACAAGACAGAACTGTTCAGAAAAGCTGGGATGTTGTGCACTGAGTTAACTGAGCCAGAGGAGAGACTGGGGGATGTAGTCTCCAGGAAGGCCTGCTGTTGCAGTTATGTTGAGTTGAAAGGGGAAAATCCTGTTTGATGCATTTTTGGCTGATCTCAGTTCTTTGATTTGTTAGCCTATGAAAGAGAAAACCAGCACCAAGATGAAGCTGAAGGAGAGCTAGGTAACCGGCATGAGCTCCAGGAACAAGGTGCCCGAGAAGCCGACTCGGAATCGGAGGCAAATGTAAGTGCGCTCTCTTCTTTTCCCAGCACATGGACACTCATCAGGCAGGAAGAAAAAGGGAGAGTGTCTGACTCGAGCCTCCAGCCCTAGATGAATGTTTTATCAGCACAGAAGGCAACTTGCATAGTTGCACATGAGCAGTATTGTAAACCATGACTCATGATGTAGTGTAAATGATGAAACTGACCAAAGGTTTTCCTGAGGAAGAAAGCAAAGATACTCTCTTTGACAGTTTTAGATCAGTTAAACTAAAACCTAAGAAAAGTGGAAGGATAGGATATTTAGTAACTGTGAAAGTTGGAGTAAATGGAGAAGATGAGGGATTTAACTCAGCAGCACAAGCTCCTGCCTAACAAGCGCAAGGTCGTGAGTTTGATCCTTCTTGCCCCCCACCGCACCCCAGAAATGGAGAAGACAAGTATGGAAGTTGGACAGGAGACCAGAGAAAGAAAATTACCCTTCCCTGAGCACTTTGAGTGGTGTGCTGTGGCTTTGAGTTTGTCATATGAGTCTAATCTCCCAGCAGCTGAGCTTAATGAATATCTGCAATAAGAATAGATGGTTTCCGAAATTTAGGTCATTAGTAGGTAGACACACAGTAATTGGCATTGTATCTTTACTCACCTGGGTAGACTAAGGCCTTTGTTTTTATATCAAGCAAGGCAAGCAAATGTTAAGTGAGTCTGTTCTCACGTTAAGCACAGTGTAATTTTATCTTAATGCTGCTATGTTTTGCTAATCAGTCAACCCTCATGTTCATATCATTTAGTCTGTGCTGTCACACAGGCTTTGTTTACATATCGATCCAGAGAACTAATAAGAAGACCCATGTCCTTTCCTTGAAAGTCATCCAAGTCTTCCTGTTTACTGCTTAGCTTAAAGTCCTTTGATGGAAATAATTTTTCCACCTAACTTGTGCTGAGATGTGGTAGACCACCTTTCCTGGATTAGTGTTTAGGAAGGTATCCAGGAGGGAGCCTTAGCCCTGAAATATTTTCAGGAAAGAGGATGAGCTAGTAAGATATGAGAGAATGCCCTGCAAGAGCAAGAAATAAGTGTGTAAAGCCCGTGAGCGTGTGCATGAGTGGTAAAGGGAAGGGTAGGTACTACAGTCACTTGAGCTTGGGAATTGCTGTAGGTTTTAATTACTTGGCTGTGTGACCCTGATGTCTGTTTGTTCTGAGAAACATTCTAAGAAACACTGGCCTTTCTATTAGACGTTCTTTTAAAAAGAAATTGTTAGCCTTTATCAGGGTGTCTTTTAATTATAAGTGTTGGAATTTGTCCCTTGCTCTCTTAATGACTATTTTAAATTGAGTGATTGTGCCCATTGACCCTTACTGATTATTTGGTTGGAGTTGGTGCTAATATGTGCATTTTTAGAAATTGGAGCAAAAGGTATTTAGTATGTTTTTCTGGAAAGAAGAGTTTACATTTTTCCTATATTCTCACATAATTTACTGATACCACACAAACAAAACTGTATGACAAGCGGTGGTGGAGGAGAGTTTAGTGTGAAGGCAGAGATATGCCACTCTTCATTCCTGAGAAGAGTGTCATCTGCACTTGAATGAAGTTTATTGCCAGGGACGTGCAGATAATAGACGAGCCGAAACTATAATGAGCTCTTGATCATGTTCCAGGCTCCTGAATGAATTGAAGTCGATTCTCCTCTGGGGAGCAGGGAGAGAGACTGAACCCCACCCTGGCTTGGCAGCTCTAGGAAGCAGTTGTCTCTTCAGTGATTCCCACAGATGACCTGGAAAGGATTAAGGAAGCTCATAATAAACACTGCCATTTCTGCCCATTTCAAGCTTTGAAAGCTGAATCTGTGTGAGAGTTTATACTGTTTGAGAACTTAAGTGGAAAATTGAAGTAATTCTAACGTGGACCATTGGCAGAGCATTTGTTGAACTCAGTAATTGAGAACTACCAAGGGTGGGGTTTCGAGGGTGTTTTTCATAATATTTCACCAAAGATTGGGCAGCTCTTCTTTCATCTTTTGCCAGTACAACAGCTCTCAGTTTCCCAATAGTGTTTTTCAGTAAAGAACGTAGGTCCACACGACAGAAGGGTGGCTTACTTCAGGGTTGATCCATTTCTTGTCTTTGTCTTCCTCAGACTCTCTTCTTAGGTTATTTTTTGTCTTTCCTATCAACTACTTTCACCACTTACGTTTTAAAAATTGCTCACAAAAGCAAGTTGTCTGTCTGAAGATCAACACGGCAGAGAAAGGAATTATTATTTGCCCATCTAAATCCTAATTTATATTGATGTTTTTCTCCTGCATAGTCCTTAGACTTTTAGTAGCTATCTTGTTGTTGTCTATTCAGTTTTGCTCATATTACTTGTGTTAGCAGAGTTTTGAGGACTATTCTGGACTCACTTGCAGAAAGCAAGTATTACTTGTGCTTCATTCTGATTTCTTAACCTCTGGTGAGACAATGAGGTGCTTGATACTATGAGCCTTGGCAAGGATAATGCGAGCAATCCATGGAGAACAACTTCACTTTTTGTCAGTGTGTGGCTTTTGAAATGGAACTTGATCCTTAGTTCTGAAGAGTTGATTTTTATTAAACTTTTGTAGAGGGTAGCAGTCGAGGATATAAACCCAGCAGATGACCCAAATAATCAAGGTGAAGATGAATTTGAGGAAGCTGAACAAGCGAGAGAAGAAAATTTGCCTGATGAAAATGAAGAACAGAAACAAAATGATCAAAAGCAAGCGAATGCTGAAGTGGAGGAACATTTGGTGGTAAGCAGATGTCACTGCCAGTGGTGGATTTAATGTTAGTATTTTAGTGAATCCCCAGCTTAAGTAAAAGGTCAGTCATAATCTACATTGGGAGAGGGTTTGCCAGTTTGGTGGGTTTTAGACCACTATCTGAAATGCTGTACCTGCACTCAGAGAGGAAGAGAGAGCTCTGGACATTCTGCACTTGGTGTTAGAAATGACTTTTCATCGTTGCCTGGCATTGCAAATGCACTTTTCATGGTGGCATGCTTGTTCTTTGTCTCCAGTGAACCGTAACACGAGCCTCCACTTTTGTCTCCACAGATGGCAGGAAATCCAGACCAGCAGGAGGATAATGTTGATGAACAGTACCAGGAAGAGGGAGAAGAGGAGGTAGTGAGATTACAGATGGATGAGATTGTTGTACCTGTCACACTGGCCTAAACTGAACTTCAGCAGTATTTTTTGACATGTTTGCTACAAAAATGTTCAGAAAAATCTAAGCAGAAAATGAAAAGGGTAGTAGTAGAACCATTTCTTTAGAAGCTATCGTTAAGGTAATAGAATTCATCCCTTTAATTCTTTTCAGAGATTTTCAACTAAGAAGACATTTGGCTTTCTAAGAAACATTTATATGCTCTTTACAATGCTTTTCTTACCTCTTTCCCGCATAAAAGTGAGTGGAGCGCTCTGCACACTAAGGAAATGCAGACTGGCCTGAGCTTCCTCAGTGGACGTCTCCTCCGTGCCTGAGCCAGGGAGGCCGTGCCCAGTGTCCACAGGAAGCCAGTAACATGCTACAAACGTTTTTATCAATTTTAGTCTCTTCTTCTGATCTTTCCTCTCAAAACTCAGTATGCGAACTAAATGTAACGCTAACAAGGACTGGAGATGTAGCTTGGCTGTAGTGTTTGCTTGGCAGACCTGAGGCCCTGAGTCCTCTCCAGCCTGCAGGAAAAAAAGTAAAAAATGAAAAGATGGGAAAATAGGAACAGAGAAGGGACATGGTGGAGTAAGGAGCTGAGATGTATAAAATATATTGAGATGAAATTCTTAGCATTTCATTTTAATTTGGATTTTGTTATAAACTTCTGGCATATTATTGACTAGGTCTGTATAGCATCTGGCTCTATGACAGATGTGGCTCACCGAGTGAATGCTGTTTGTTCCTGTGTTTTGTCATGATTCTCTCCAGTATGGATCCCGCACTCATGCGTATGAGACAGATCAGGCTAAGATCTCATGTTTAGTTTCTCAGTAGAGCAGTAAATAGTACCTGAATGAAAGCCTACGTTCCGAGCCACTTCTCGGCCAAGCGTGCCACAGCTTTGTGCTTGAGTGTCGGCTCCTGGGAGGATGGACCTCAGCCAGCTGGGCACAGGAACACACCTCCTCCTGAAAGTCCTGCTCTGAGAACATGTGCTGTCATACGCACACACAGGTCCCTGGCCTGCTGTCAGCCTTGAGCGAAACCATGTGCTTATGTCTGGACAGCCGAAAAGGATGTTGCCCTTTACATCTGCTGACAGCACACTGAGTCATCTGTTCTGTAACAGACTTGATCTTTCTGTTCTCTCTCTTTTCTCTTCCTGCTGTTCTTCTTCATCAAGCCCCAGAGCTGCTTTATCAGAAAGAGAGCATTAGAGCTACCAGCAGCCTTGAATATTAAGACGCTTGGCAAGAGAACGGTATTCATCTAGTCTTCTCTTGTAATAAGATGTCTAGACTAATATTACTTTGTTTCATTATATCAGATACTGGGAATCTTGGAGGGAGTAAGAGAAAAAAGATTCACCTTGGCATCTTTTTAAAAATTTAATAAGTATTTACTGATTCTTTTTCTTGTACATTATCATCAGTCGTGGCGGAAGAGAGACACCCTGGGATCCAGAAAAGATCGAGAAGAGACAGGCTGTGAGGCAGGCAGTGGAAGGCAGGGAGCTTATGCCAGCCTGGCGCAGCCCTAACTCAGCAGCTGCCCTGTCTGGGCTTGCTCACCCACTTTCAACTTCACGTGAGCTCGTCCCCTCCTTACACAGAGCCTCTGATCCTGCTTGTTTTGCTTTATTGAGTTCCTGTCCTGAATTCTTATAACGATGTCTGTGTAGCCAGTTCTCACTGTCTTCCATAGACTGGCGGTTGCTACCTTGTCACTTAGGATTGTTACCCTGAGAAGTCCCTGAAAGGGTGCTTGAGCCTTTCCTCCCAGTGCACCTTTGCTCTCTGCCCAACTTGTTTAGGCAGGGTTGAATTTTTCAGGTCTTTCCTGAGATGATGAATTTTTGCATATTCTCGCATCTCTCCATCTTTACCAGCAGTTCCACTGAGAGGGGAGAAGCGTGGTTGCCAAACACCATTCAAGCTTCAGTGCTAGTCAGGGAGGAAGGATTCGCCAAACTGGAGCAATGAGAAAAATGAGATAGAAACACACACTGTATCCTCTGTAAGGACAGATGTGTCTGGGACAGCATTTGTGAAGACACTCTGGAAACTGTGGAAGACTGTGCAACCAGCCACCGTGCTTATCTCCATGAAACCTGGAGTGTCCAGCCTGTCACACTGACTGCTAGTTTGGAACTTCCAGCTGCCCTCAGTCTTTGCTCCCTCGATGCACAAACTTGCTGCCATCAGCATGTGCTCCTGGGGAGGACCTGTCTCCTGCCAGGCTGTACCTGTCTAGAGGCACAACCATCAGACTGACGGGCTTGAATTTTGCAAGGATCCAAAATGAGTGTGATCTCAGGGAACTTGCCCTGTTTCTGCCTTATTTTGTCCAGCAGTGTTGACAAGGTATTGTTTGATATCATTACCATGGAAGGGATTCTTATTGAAAGGTCCTTCTCGTGCCACCTAACAACAATTTTGAAGAAAAAAGACAAATTATGACATTGCCAAAAAACTTCTATGTGTACCTTACAATTATTTAAGGGTCAAAATTAGATTAAATGACTTTAAAAACTGAATGCATTCATTTTTCCAGTGTAACAGAAAGAGATTTATTTGAACACTTGGGAGAGAGCAAGTACAAGGTTATTTATTCTCCTTCAGTAGCCAGATAGGTGCACACAGTACCCAAATCTGCAGTCTGTGAACCTCCACCTCAGGAGCCTTTCACCTGGAGTAAACTGCCCTGTGAAATACCTCTTAGCGAGCAGGGTGTCCATCATTTCAGCTGATGTGACCTGCAGGCTTTTTGTTTGTCACATGCCACCCACATCTTTGGATGCTGGCATTCTTACTGAATTAAGGTTCAGGTTACTGGTTCATGGCTCATTCAGAGAATTCTTCCACACTTAAAACAAGGGAGTAAGACACACAGCAGGGATAGGGTGGCTAGTCGAAGCCTGTTGAGCTTCAGTGATTTGTTTCATTTTGTTTTGGCCATTTACTATGCTTTACCCCATTACATAGAGTTCATATCTCAAATGTCTTAAACATTGGATTTTAGTGGAGAAAGACATATAACGAGGAGCAATGTTAGTAAATCTTTGGCAAAGCATTGCATCAGCTCTAACAGGACCCAAAAAAGAGTTGGTGTAGAAGATGTAATTGGTATGTCTACATTGTGAGAGGGTAGCATTTGGCTTCTCACTCTCAGTCTAAGCATATTTTAAAGATTATTTAGGGCCGCCATATTATTTGGTTCCTTTTCACTAATGCCTTTAAGGTGAATTTGAATTGCTTTTGCTCTCAAAAATGATTATATTACTAAAAGAATATCTGTACAAAACTATTTTTTGTATGATGGAAAATTATAGGCTATTCATTTTTGGGTTCCGTAAGTTACAGAGTAATATAAAGCAATATAAAGTAATTTGCAAATAAGATTATATTAACAACTGGTAAGCCAACTAAGTTTTCTACAGTATATCCCTACAATAGACAAAAAATATTTTATAGGTGGATGATTATCTCACAAGCCGAACAGTCTTCATGCCGCATCTAATTTTACTCAGGGAAGTTATCCTCATTTTCTGCTGTGTCTATGACTCCCCTTGAAAAGTTGGTAAAAAATACAAATCCCTACCTAGACCAGACCTTATGCTTGAACATTTTAATCTAATCTGTTGTGGGGCATATGAAACAGAGTTCTTCAGAAGTGCCCCTCGTTGCCTCTCAGCAGAGGTGGAAGTTGCACATGCACCTTTTTGAGGTAAACAGTCTTAGGCACGCAGCTGTGGGTGGAACCAGGGCAGTGTGAATCTTCTTCACTTCTGTGGAGAACTGTGTATCTCTATGTGTTTGCTAGAGACTCACTCAAGGTCTGACAGGATTTATGTCTCTGATTCTGTTAGAATCAGAAGTACAGACCACTGAGGGAAGATCTTAAACAATGTCATTATTAAATGTACAGTCCTGGTAGGCATGGAGTTGATTTCAGGGAGTTCTTCTGATTGAAAGTCAGTGAATATAGAAAGGATGATGGAATTAGAAGGTTCCAGTTTTTATAACCCCTAATTGAGACAACTGATTTTAAGCATCAGTCATCAGAAGATGTTGTCAGCACATAGGTCAGGAAATGACCATGGAGAACCCGGGCTGCCCCTGTCTGAGCTCGCTAACCAACCTCAGCCTAAAAGTATGCCAGTCAAGAATTATGTGCTTCCACCACCTTTGAAATGCCCATGATTTTTAAATTGAACCTGAGTTCACTCATACCTTCATGCTGATGTTTATAGGCTGTATGGGGGCCAAGTGAAATAATGCTATAGAAGTAAATAAATCCAGAGTGTGGGTTCTTCCAAAGAACAGCATGGAAAAAATAATGACGGGAAGCCCCTGTTAGATTTGCCTTTGTTTAGATAGTGATTTAAAAAAAAAAACAGCTGCAAATAGACATTAAAGATAGAAATGTAGTTACTGGTTTTGTCAGGTACAATAACAGGATTATGGTTATGTAAGATGCCCCTTGCTTTTAGATATCTGTACAGTGATATGCAAAGGTAAAATTACATGATGTCTAGAAATTTTTAGAATAACACAGTGAAAAGATAAATGTTACAGCTGACACAAGTATGGCAGTACTCACATATCTTTTCAACATTGCTGATGGCTATATTTATTGAGTTTTTATTTGTGTATTTTCTTTATTTCTTGCATATTTGAAGGTTTTCATAATAAAACCAATTAACTTATCATTTTTATAGTTAGAATAAGTTACAGGCCCAAGGTTTTGGTGCCATTATTTGTTCACATTTTGTTTATAGCTGTTTTTGTGCTTCATTATTGGAGTTATGTGCCCTAGACATTAGGCCCCAGAAAGCCTTAAATAATTACTCTCTGGATCTTAACATAAAAGGTTTGCTTCTCCTGATTTATGTGTTCTTTCCACTACACTGCATAGTTTCAAGTTCTTTCCAGTTTTCAAGTGCAGCATGTTCAGCATTCACAAATACTGTTTTCATTTTTAACCATGGAGGAGACATGTCTTTATTCATTGAAGTAGATAGAGACACTTCAATTTAATGTTTCAGATAGTCACATCTTAATGTAATCTGAAATAAGTACTTCTTTGTCTGTCGCAATGTCTTGTGGGATGTTACTGTGAGGTTCTGTAAGTAATGACAGAAGAAATGTCATAGGCCGCTGATAGAGCCCTGAGGTGAATAAAGAGCATCCTTAGTTGCCTGTGCCAGAAATGTGAATGGCATCGAAGCCATATGCTCATCCTCAAATTGTATTTATGTGGGGCTGTGGATACGGCTGACCCTGAGATGGTTGGAAGAGATTCATGAGGGCCTAGCTGTGTCTCCCGCATTGCTGAAGAGCCACCTTTGCAGGTTTTTGATAGGCCAAAGCTCATCTGGGAAGCTGCACTTCATTTCTGTCTCACCTGGTCTGGATACTTAGAGGCAGCATTTTATTTGTTTCTCCTTAACGATAAACCTTACATAGTTTTCATCCTTTGCCTACTTCTCAGATTTTCAGTAGTTATCCCTATACTTTCCACAAAATCTTGTGTGCTTGCATGTGTGTGTGTGTGTGTGTGTGTGCATGTGTGGAGGAGGGGGTATTCAAGAAACTTTACTGTAGTACAATGATCCTAAACAAGAACAGGCTTCCTTCTGGTCCCTGGACATGGCTCCATGCCTGCCTGATGTTCGGCAGTTTTTTGAAATACATTCAAATGACTTAAACTTTCCAAGATATATAAGGTTTTCAAAATAGCAAGCTAGAGAATATTTTACCTTATATTTCTGTAACATGAACCTTATATGGAGATTATTTCATAAAGTATTTTGATGCTTTCTTTGGCATTTTGAGATAAATAATTGAGATCAGTGAAATAGTAATAATGTATATAAAAAAAACTAAAACAGAAATGTATTGGAACATGAAATAGAGATAAGAATGAAGCAGTTTGTTGGATTATTACATGAAGAAATTGAAATGATTGCTTTGTTTTCTACATACTGTGGCCAGAAATATTTATTATTAATTATAGAATGAATATATAAATTTTTACTACATTGCATACAGGTAGTGCAATGTTTGTGGTGCATTAAGAGGAAAAATATTTTTGCATTTATTCATTCATTAAGTGACTTATTTATTCAACAATATTTGCTAAGCAATTTTCATGTGCCTGGAATGCATCTAGTTATTAAACACAGGGAGTTGAACTTCATAGAATTTCATAAAATTTATATTCTGTCAGAGCTTATACATTCCTGTGGTTCTTCTACTTGGAAAGGGGACTGCTTAATTTTTAAGCTCAGTGTCATCAGGTATTGTCCTGTGGAATTCTCACTCAAATCAGAAATTGAAACATTAGATTCAGAGTCAAACTCACTTGAGTTTTGTTATATGTATATTATACATTTCTTTGTACTAATAAATAAGTCACACTTCGACTTTTTTATATATACTTTTAGTTTAGCTTTGTTTCTGTCGGTTTTGAATGAACTATTAGAAATCAAAACATACTGTTGCAAGTGCTGGCAGCATCTCATAGTATTTGTGGTTTGTTTCAGGTACAAGAAGATTTGACTGAAGAGAAAAAAAGGGAACTGGAGCGTAATGCTGAGGAGACCTACGGGGAAAACGATGAAAAAATGTACGTGTAGAGCGCGTCCTTCTGCTGAGCACGGTGTGTGTGTGTGTGTGTGTGTGTGTGTGTGTGTGTGTGTGTGTGTGCGCGTGTGTGTGTGTGCGCGTGCTGTGCATTCTGTGCAGAACACATCGATGTAGGGGTGTAGGGGTGGCGTTGGCGCCGACAGGGAGCGAAGGGCGCCTCTGACTCGGCCGCCCGCATTCGGGAGCAGTGTGAGCACCTGCAGGTTAGGAGCGAAGGTAGCACTGTTTCCCGCTGAATCTTTTTTTCACGTTTCCTTTCTTCAAAAATGAATGACTTTGCATCTTTTTTTTAAACAGAGAATTACTAATCACTAGCTCTGCATAGCATTTCTTAGTTTTTCTTTTTCTTACTTTAAGGCTGATGATAAAAACAATGCTGGAGTCCAAGATGACACCCGCAGGAAAGGTGGGGAACACTATGAAGAGGAGGAGGAGGAGGATGAAGAGGGCGCTGCTGCTGCTGAGAAATCGCATCGCAGAGCTGAAATGTAGCTGCAGCCCATTTCCAGGCAATGCTCAGCCAATGAACATTTTTCAAGCTGCTCTAAAATAAATCTGCCTACTGAACTTTAGGATATTTAATTGCAAAAATTAAGAATTTAGACTTTTTAAACTTTTTTATTAGAAATGCTCATACATTTTTATAACTATATTTTGATAACTTAGGTTAGAACTTATTTTATATTCAAGCTAAACACATACAAGAAGAAAAACAATAAACATAATTATACCTTAGGCTCAGGACCTTATGTTTCATGGATTGTGTGATGTGGGGAAGAACACTGCTTTTGTATATTTCTCAAGTTGTTATTTTCCTGGCTCCTGACTTCCATGTTCTCCTTGCCTTTGATAAAATACAGGGTTTTGTAACAGGGAATGTGATAAAATGCTGTGCACACTAAAAGGAGCTAGTCTACTAATGGCTACTTTTCGAGGTTCTTATGTGTAGTTCTGATAAAATTCTCACTGGTCTGCATTTCTGGGATGAGATCTATATACAGAGTGACATGCAATTAGAAATCCATTTTTGTTGCAGAGTAAGGACGTTGTTTTTCAAATTTTTTAGATCTTTTTGAAACATAGATAATGTCACTTAAAATTGTAATTGTTTTACTTGAAAGGAATATTGCAAATGAGATAGTACTAAATTTCATATGGTAGCATCCTGAATGTGAACAGTATTTCACTGTTCTAAAAAAGGTATGACAAAGATATTAAACATCAATATTTTAACCTTTTTTAAGGATGGTGATAACCTAAATTAATGGACATGTGTGGTGTTTTCTGTGTGAGCACCTGTTCACAGTGTTTTTTGACATCACCGAGATACATGTTTATTTCAGTAGGTAGTTCCTCACAGGAATGTATGTTTCTCCTTTAAGCTCTGTGCCTCAACATATAGTCTGTTTTATGACAGTTATAAATATAAAGACATACCTATCCTTCATTTTATAGACTAGGTATTTTAAATATTCCACTTAATAGGATTATTTTTCAAAACTATATAGTAAAAAACAACCTTTCACAGTAGCATCAAGGAAAATGAAATATTTAGGAATTAACCTAACCAAGGATGTGAAAGACCTCTATAGTGAAAACCACAGTACTCTGCAAAAAAAAGTATGTATATACATGATTATATGATAGACCCTTGTGTCTTTTCTGTTGCTAAGAATCAGTTTGCCTTCTTCCTACATGCAAGGTATTTCAATGAATATAAATTATAATAGGTCCCTTTGAAAGGGAAATTAAAAAGCAAAAATTTCCACATAAATAAAGACACATTTCAGGAGCAAACAAAAACTTTTATATATACCAAATGAGGTTATGTAATTCATATGTGTGGTTTTTAAATAAGACTTCCAAAATAATATAAACAAATTTCACTTTCAGCCATTGTTGTATGAATATAATTTTGTTTTTTAATAACTACATTCATGTATGGTTTTGATTATTCCTGTTGAGCAGTTATGTATGTATGCACAGGAATATTTTGTTCAAAGTATCTTGGATTTCCAATAATCATAAGTCAGATCTTACTTTTATGTATAAAAATTTTATGTAATGTAAAATGTATAATATTGTACATAATAATCAGAATACAATTATTTTGGTAAATTAGTTTGTATTTTTAATGTCCCAGTTGCAGTATTTAATTATTTGAAACATTACAACTTGGTAATAGTCAATAAAGCTATAAAAAGCAAGTGGTAATTCTCTAAAGTATGTGATTTTTATTAGTTTCTGTCTGACAGTATTCTTTAATTCTTTCTCATAAAATGAAATATTTTAAGATATATCAGTATCTATTGTAAAATATGCGTTTCCCAGCCTGCTCTTACTTTTCTTGTTTTTTCAACTTGGGTTTGCACTTGATTTTTCCCCTTTCCTGAAAAAAAAGATCAGGGAATTCCTCTTGTATTTTAGTAAGTTTTGGGGAAAGAAAAAAGAAATAGGGATAAAAAAATATAAGGCAGTGTCATGTGTATATACAAAACAAAAACTTATATCCCACTAGGAAAACCACGTCACAAACCACAGCAGTCTATGTGTGGTACCATTAGAAGGCCATTCTCGCCAGTGTTTAAAGAAATATGTCTGAGCTGATCTTTATTAATGAGCTGTGTAGAAATAAAATAGCACTTGTTTTTATCCTGCCAGTTTACAACTTTGTGTAACCAAGCTTCAGATGAATTGATACCAGTGATGTAATTAGAAGAAGAGGACACATTTTAGGCATGGGTAAAGCACGGCACAAAGAAACAACATTGTACAAGTGTAATTTGACCAGACAGGAAACGGGTAGAGAGCATCACTCAACCATGAGTGCTCTTCCAGTCAACCACTCTTCTCTGACTTGCTCTTCTAACAGAATTGACGGCACGGATTGCTTGCCTTCATAGTTGGATTGGGGGATTAGGATTTACTTTAATCTTCACACTTCTACATTGATGAAGAACTTTTGAACAATGAACAACTTTTTTCTTCAGGGTCATTTAACCTTGAGTTCTCCATTTTGCCACTTATTTTTAGTTCTTTGATTACCTTCTGATATATGCACATTACAGCATATTGAACAGCCATTAAGGGTGAGCTAGACCCAGGTCTAGGGATGCAGACATGTAATCTCAGTGCTGTGGGGAGCTGATACAGGAGAGTGGCAATTTTGAGGCAGCCTAGAAAGCTCAGCAGCTGAGACCCAGTTTCAAAATAAAAACAGACCAGAGATGTAACTCGGAGCCAAGGCCCTGGGTTAAAAAGTCATCACTGAGAAAAAAAAAAAAAAAAGCTGGGTATGATGGTACACGGTATCATACCAACATTCTGGGAGGCTGAGGCAGTAAGAGCACAAATTTGAGGCCAGCCTGGGTAATTTAGGAAGATCCTGTCTCAAATTTTAAAGTTCACGGATAGAGATGGGGTGAGGACCTGCGTTCAGTCCCTACCTGAACCTGCTTTTCTAAGATCTCTGTCTCATATCACTAAGCTGCCTTAAACAGAAACAAAGTTTATCATTCATTATCATTCTGTTTCAACTCTATAATTAGTAGTAAAATATTTTCATATTGGGCCTCTTGGCTCCATCCCCACGTCTGACTTCAGTTATCTTTACCTGACCAGTTTGATAACTCATTTCCTCATTTACTTGCTCCTAAAGTTGGTGCCCGTATGATTTTGCTGAGATAAAATTAACATCCCTCCACTATAACATTATTTATCAAATTGCTATTGCACACAGGAAAAATTCCACACTTAACATAATTCTTCATGATCTGACCCCAGCTTGCACCTTCAGCTTGGTAATTCGTACTGCATTATTGAATCATCATAAATGTGATTTATCTTTGTCACACACATTCTTTTCCTACTATCTTGGTAACCAACCTTGACCCGAGTCTAGGAATGGGAAATTGACTTTAGCAAAGTCAGTATTATTCCCCCTCCTTGAAAAAAAAATTGCATGACTCAGGAGAGGCATTTGACATAAAACACACCAATTTGATTCTCGGGGACTTTTTGTTGGAAGGCAATCCCTCTGCTATTCCTACACATCCTAAGATAAACATATGTGTATCTTCAATAAGTATTTGTTAAATGAATGTCACACTTCTCAGTTTTTACCCTGGACTGTTTGGGTAAGGATATTTGCATACTGAAGCTAGCACTATCTCCCCATCAGAGCGCAGGCAGGATTTTTCTCCTGTTTGAGTTTGACAGTGATCACAGCGTATGCCTGAAAATTTTGGACAGGTGTCCTTGCAGCTGCTTTATAAAATGGAAGTTTGCTAAGACCAGGGATGCTCAGCAATGCTACCGGCTCAGTGTGTGCATGACTTTCATTTATCATCTTCAGGACGCTGAGAAACCAAAGGGAACTGATAGGAACATGAAGTTTATGCTGCCCAATGTACCGTGCAAAATAAAGTCCTTTTTCTCTGACCCAACCTCCTGTCAGCCTCCGTAAAAGTAGAAGGCTGTTACCCTCTGTGGTGGATTAAATCTTGTACATTGCACAATTGTTAGTATTTTTGCGGACTGGAACAAATAAAAGGTTGCTCTTTTCTCTGTGGTGGCAAAACTACTATTTAATAAATTTATCTTACAGTATTCATTTTTCAGTTGTGTGGGAAAAAATAGAGAACAAATATAACTTCTTAAAAGAGACTGAGTTAAGCTATTTTTCCTGTCTCTATCTTCTCACTTTTTCTTATTTGATGTAGTTGGAAATGGAGTTTTGTCATTTGACACCTGAAGATTCCTCATATTTAAATAATATTTATTCCCTTTAAATCACAATCCCAGCTTGTATCATGGTATGATTGCAATGAATCCCCCCTAGGAAAAGTTGTTCAATGCTTATTCACTCTCCCCTCCTTTGCCTGCCTGATTGCTTTGAGGTTCACTTTAGATATTCCTCTGGGCGTGGTCTGCTTCTTATTAAACCCCCTCCTAAATCTTGGTTGCATATGCACTCTGTCTTTTTATGGCATCCTTATCAGCTATTTCATACCACAGTGCAAGGAAGTAGTCTCTCATGTTCTCTTATTCACTGCTGTAGTCCAAGCACTGACATATTATATGTATATCTTCTGTATTTGTTAAATGAGTGGCTTATACTTCTCATAGTCAAAAATATGAGTGATGTTTCAGCCATAGGGTCTTCAAAAACAACCAAAAATCAGAATCACTTGACCTCAAAAAAGATACAGCCAGAAGATGTAACACTGCATGTGTATCTTCTTTGAAGCATTAACTGTATATGTGGAATAAAGAATTTCTTGACAAATAAGTGAGTTGAGTTTTGTACCATAATATATGCTCAGTAGTCAATAGAGTCATAGGAAACCTGCCTAAATTGAGGAACAAATGCAGTATCTCCTTAGAAACTCCTTGATTCAAGATTGTTACTACAAGGCCAGTTGAAATGGTGGCACAAGCTATGTGCCCACCACTGTGGTCCATCTGTCTGCATGTCCATCTTTCATTCTTTTTCATTCTTCATTTGTCTAAGACCCTGTAACCACAGGGCCCAATACCTAAGCTTGATAAACCTTTGTGCCTCATCTTCTACCAGGGGTGGCGAACTTATGGAACACTTGCCACAGTGGGCTGTTTATTATCACAGAAAGCTCTAAAACATTCGCCATCACTGTCAGGCCACAGAGACTGAGAGAGGACAAGGAGCATATCCAAGAGCTGCCCAACAGCCTCTCACTCAGGGATTTTTAGAGGCTGGATGAGACAAACGCCGCTGGCTGCTTCAGTGACGCCATGAAATCTGTACATCTGGAGTTCTCAGGAGTCCATACACCTCGTCTCGTGGATAAAATACAGTTTTGGCAGGAAGAACAAAGCCAGCACTCTAATGGAGCAGTAATGGGGAAAAGGACGTGGAGAGAAGAGTGAGAAAGAGAAATCCAAGAGGTAAATGGTATTCAAATTACCAAGCTCTAATTTCATTTTGTATTACTTACTAATAACTCTCGCTCTCCATCCCAGCCTTACTTTGTTCCCATAAGTTAGCTAAAGGTCTTGAATTGACCGAAGGAAACTAAGGAAAACTGACTTCAGCATTCTGGTTTTTATAGAGGTGAATACTATTATGAAAAAGGAAATATTGTTTATTAATTTGTAGTCATATTGCCCCAAACATAACGAGTTTAAATAAGTAATTACATGCCCTCCTCTTCTTTAACCAATCCTTTTGGATCTGGCTTTGTGGCCCCAAGAATCTATGATAAACATCTAGAGATTATCATAAGGAAGCTGTATATAGTCATTTAGTCTACACCAAAGATTAGCAAACTTCTCTTATAAATGCCTGAGAAGTAAATCTTTAAGTCTTTTCAGACCATAGATCTTTCCTTACCTCTACCGTTTTACAATGAATGCAGCAAGAAACAATATATAAAGGAATGTGCATGGCTGCATCCCAATAAAACTTTATTTACACAATCAAACAGCAGACTGGATTTGGTTTAGTCTGCAGATACCTCATGTATATGGCACCAAGACATTTAACTTATGATTTTTCAGTAGAAAGTGGAGGATTTCAGGTATTAAGGCTTTGTGTTTCTTTGCTGTTGCCTTCTATTTTTAGTTGGCAAGTCCCAGCATCATCTTCGCTGCTCTATTTGTACATTATTTTAAGTAACTGGAAATGAAATTCTTTTGTCCTTTACCATCGTGGCTGACCTTGTTCTTCCCACTCCCTGTGTGTTACTAATGGAGCTTGAAATTAAATGTCATTTCTATTTATCTGTTAACACATTTCTGTTTATCTGTTAACATATACACACCATTCCCCGTGAAATACACATCTAACAAACTGGCATATTGAGAAACATGAGAGCTTGAACAATAGGTGAGATGAAATCCTTTGATCTGGTGTGCCTCTCTTTTTTGAAAGCTTAAGTATGGTACCATTTATGATCCCTGGCTACTAAATTACAGTTAAATTGGTTCTCAGTTTCGAATTTTCATTTTGGCTTTTGTCGATAATTTCTCTTAAATTTATGCATTTGAGTGAAATTAATCTTTTTTTCACAGAGGCATTTGAACATTGTTTATACTACCTTCACTTTAGCCAGTTATCTTCTGTGATAGTTTTAAATTTTATTCACAAAACCTTTGATAGTTCCCCTTCAGGAGGTAAAACCTAGCCCCTATTCCCTTGAGTGTGAACATAGACTTAGTTATTGACTTC